TATAGTATAAACTCATTCACATTTCTTCTTTGGAGAGGTAAACTTTTTTAAAAAATAATTTTGTGGGTTGCTTCCCTTACACCTATGGACTGCTGGTGAATATTTGTGTCATTTATTTACTTAAAAATATCTATCACTATTTTTTTGTTTTCTGTTTTGACTTCGAAATATATTTTTTATTAGCTGATATTAGCTCTCTGACCTCTCTCCATGGACACTGCAGTTGTTAGATTTGGGACGTGTATCACTAGCTGCTAAAGTGTTCAGGATTCATCTGGTGACTGATTTACACGCCAATCTTGTGTTTAAAACGTCCGATGCTTTTGCACTCTCTAGTTATGCCATTCTACCAATTAAAACTTTAAGTTATCTGTAGTTAATGTTTTTAAAGTGACTTTAAATTGTACCTTTGATGTGTATGTGTTTAATATTTAAATGATAAGAAACATAGCTTTAAATGATGATGTTATTAAATTGATTGAATTCACTAAACTATCTAACATATTTCTTGCAAATATATTTTTGTATACGGATTAATGGAAATAAAGTCCAACGCAACTTCAGGAATGCATGCTTGCATAACTTTTGTATTCCTAATTTCATAGATTATCTTAAAAAATTATAAACACCAATGATGGTAAGGGTGTATAAGGAATGGAAAAAATGTTGGTGTATTAAGAAGCAATAAAAGGTTGTTTAGAATGCATGATAACTTGTACGTTTTCAGTTGATAGGCTTTTCTAACCATCTTCTCTCGTTGGTATTAATTGCTCTCCGTTAAGTTAAACAGAACTCCCCCAAGCATTTACGTTCCCTTGGTAACTCTTTAGTGAGTTTAATTCAAATTTAACAATAATTTCGGTTATTAATAAACAATCTTTTACCTCTTTCCAATAAATAGAAAATCCATTGGAATTAGGCCGCATGTTTGGTAGATCTTTTTTTACTTTTCTTGGGCCACAATGGTTCCTATGTTTTCTCCCGAGCTAAATAGCAAATCAAATATTAGAAAAGTGGACCGGATCAATTTTTATATATGATGTATGACTCCTACTCCAATATATAGGTTGGTTGTATAGTAGTCATAAGAACACCAATATAGAATTGATACATAGGATGACAATTACATTTGTGGCTATCAACACTTAAATGAACTTCTAACAACTACACGAAATGTCTAACCTAATAGTATGTTGGGTGAAGGTAGATTCAGTTTTGTACTTCTCACTTCAAGCCAACCAGACCTAAATCTGTTTTGGTAGTTATTGTAAAGAAGAATATCAATTTCACGGCATTGCTCATCACAAGGGATTAATGTATATGTAAATATCCTTACATCACCCTAAAAAGAGTGCCCAATTCTGCTTGTACCATGTGTTTAATATAAATGTTGACTCATTAAGTCACATGATCGAATAAATAGGGTTTAACAAATTATACTTAATGTATATGTGTTTAATCTATAACAAATTACACTCCTAAGGTTTATTTTGTAAGTTATAAATAACAAATTACACTCCTAAGGTTTATTTTGTAAGTTATAAATAACAAATTGCACCCCTAAGGTGTTTTTCGATGATTGTTTGAAGGAGTTGATTAATAAATTTGATATGAGCGAATAGCTATGCACTAATTTGTAGTATATTTACTAATAATTATGCACTAATTTGTAAAAATTCAGTTTATAATGTAAATTCTTTTTTTATTAAGTAGACTACTACGAAATTAGTTACTAAGTTGTTCCATTTGAGTTAATGGTAACACACATTGTTAATTAAGGCTTAAACAATGTTGATCACATTTACAAATTCAGTTCATGACTATGGGAACATGTTGAACCAAGTCATGCATACCATGAAAAGGATGCTAAAATGTTCTTTAGGTTTTAATTATGTAAGCATTTTCTGTATTAGTTCTTCAAAAAGAGGATTTATAACACTCTCTTTAATACAATCTCCTAAAACAACTGATTGTGATAAACCATTATATTATCTACCATTTTACATATATGATTAGTTTAACAATTTTGAAACTGGAATTAATTAGTGATCTTGAATTATCCCATGCTTCAATAACCAAAGGTTCACCAATAATAAATGTATATCGAACTATTACCACACAGTGTGCCACAAATTGCAAGTCTACAAGTTTAGTTATCATGTGTATAATTCAATGTTTGGATATCACGTATATGAATTTTTTAAACCATGCGATTATTAGGATGCATGATTCATTTCTAATTTTCACACAAGTTATAATCAAACTTCTTAATACATGAAGTTCTTAGAAACATAATCATTGTCGTTCTAAGATGCATATCATATCGTTTGAAAGAGTGGATGATCTTGTTAGATTCAAAATTATATTGTAAAAGGTATTGGGCACTATTGCACACGCGCAACGCGCGTTGAAAAACTAGTTATCTAAGAAAAGTTAAAGATGGCCAATTACCAACACTATGCAAATTTCATGATTAATGCATGATAATTATCAGCGTATTATTTTTAAAATATTGCATCATTTTGTAACTCGGTACTCTCAGAAATATATATTCAATTGTATGAATGCTTTGAAAGTGAAAAAATTGCATATAGAGACACCTTTCTCCAAGTTTAGGAGTACAAGCTTCTCTCATTGGCCCTAGGCATATCTCAATTCATATATCAGAATAAGGTAATATTTATTCCATGCTCTCCAAACCTTTTGCTTAGTGCTTCATTTAGGTGCCCTTAATTTCACATTCGTTCGGTAAGCTCTTAGTGATTTATGTGTCAAATTCAGGCTACCGCTACTTTCTTGTGTTCATTATAGGGATTTGCATGATTTAAATCAAAGATTGTGTGGTGAAGAGGAGTCCAATTGTAGCTTAGTTAAGTTTTTGTGAAAGGATTATCTCATCTCAGTCTATGTAACATCTATATTGATGCATAAAAACACAAGCATATCAATCACATATTTAGTCGGGCATAAATGTTACGTAGTATTTAGTTTGCGGATTAATTTTACAAAACTCAATTGTACTAACCAGAACATTAGATACTATATTAATCCTAACAAAAGCATATTGGGCATCAACCCCTCGCGCAACGTGCGTCATAAAACTAGTTATAATTATAAGTATAAATATAGAAATATTCTACTCCGATCTAGGGGTGGGTTCGGTTTATGCGGTTCGGTTTTGACCTAAAACCAAATGTAGAATCAAACTAAAAACTTCGGTTCGGTTCGGTTTGTTCATACTTTTTTGTCCAACCACGGTTGAATCGGTTCGGTTTGACTCCGGTTTTTTCGGTTTTAAACCAAAAAGAGACATACTTTCTGAAAAAAAATGAGGTGCAAATAACCAAAGTGCAGGAAAATAAAACAATAAGTACCGAAGAATGTCAATCCCTGTCGTACCATTTAAATATAGTGCACTAAACATTAGTACATGACACCTAAAAGCTAAGTGCAGTAAACTTGAAAATAGTGCAGCAAAATAAAATGCAGTCCCAACTGAAATGAAAATAAAATGCATTCCCAAAATAAAATGAAAAGAGCAAATGCATTCAACTGAAACGATGAAAGTCAATCCCTGTCTTACAATTTAAATAAAGTGCATTAAACATTAGTACATGACATTTAAAAGTTAAGTGCAGTAAACTTGGATATAGTGCAGCAAAATAAAATGCAGTCCCAAATGCAGTAAACTTGGATATAGTGCAGTGAAATCTTATGCAGTCCCAAGTGCAGTAAACTTGGATATAGTGCAAGAAAATAAAATGCAATCCCAAGTGCAGTAAACTTGGATATAGTGCAGCAAAATAAGCCTCTTACGTTTTAGGTTAAAAGATTATGGAGTACTACAGGACTACTGGACTCGTAAAAAGCCTCTTACGCTTTCGGTCTTGAGCATTGACCACATGACCGGCCATATACTCCATATAAAATAAATGATTTTTTTTATTTATAAATATTTCGGTTTTTTCGGTTTCGGTTCGATTTGAAATCAAACATGTTCGGTTCGGTACGGTTTTTTATGTTCGGTTTCGGTTTTTCATCGGTTCGGTTTATTTGGTCGCGATTTGATTTGATTTGATTCGATTTTCGGTTTACAGATCAGATCAGAAATATTTAGATCAGGTCAGACCAGAGCAGAAAGATTCAGATCAGATTAGAAAAATTCAGATCAAATCAGAAAGATTCAGATCAGATTGTGTGATGAAGAGGAGTCCAATTGTAGCTTAGTTAAGTTTTTGTGAAATGATTATCTCATCTCAGTCTATGTAACATCTATATTGATGCATAAAAACACAAGCATATCAATCACATATTTAGTTGGGCATAAATGTTACTCCCTTCGTCCCTTAATTAAAACTTTACCAACTTTCCTTTTTTGGATGTCCCAATAACTTTGCCACTTTCCCTTTTAAGTAAAGAATTTGTGGTTCCAGTTAATTCTCTCTCCTCTGCACAAATCTCAACCACACAGTTTTTACTTTAATCTATTAATCCCTGTGCCGGTCAAACTTGGCAAAGTTTTAAGGGACGGGGGTAGTATTTAGTTGGGCATAAATGTTACATCTAGTTTGCGGATTAATTTTACAAAACTCAATTGTACTAACCAGAACATTAGATACTATATTAATCCTAACAAAAGCATATTGGGCATCAACCCCTCGCGCAACGCACGTCATAAAACTAGTTATAATTATAAGTATAAATATAGAAATATTCAACTCAGATCAAACCAGAAAGATTCATATTAGATCAGAAACATTTAGATCAGATCAGACCAGAGCAGAAAGATTCAGATCAGATTAGAAAAATTCAGATCAAATCAGAAATATTCAGATTAGATCAGATCAGAACTTAAAAAATCCGGATCAGAAACATTTCGATCAAGTGAAGAGAACAGCTTTTAAGTGGGACATTAGACAACGATTTTAGGAACCTTATTATTTCAGCCCACCCCATAAATTAATTCCCAGGCCAGCCCAGCCCGCAGCCAACAGACTTAAGTTACTTCCCTTAGCGTGAATCGGCCTAAAACTGAAAGTAACGAACTGCGTGCTGAGAAGACGGGCCAACACCGGGCCACCACCCGCCGCCGCAGCCGCCGCAGCCGCCGTTCTCTCTTATTCTCAGGACTTGAGGTGAATCTTATTCTCTTTTAAACATTTCATACCAAAAATCTTTAACTTTTGATGATATTGCAGGTGGGCTTCAATTTTACTTTTGGGAGCTTTGTAACTGGCCCACCGCCACTGACGATATTGCAACTGCGTGCTCGCACTAACCGTAAGCAACTCAGGCTGAGCACATATATGATATTCAAATTTTCTGATTTGTTTAATTGCCAATTACTTTGATTGGTTGAATTGTTTGTTGAATGATTGAATTGTTGTTATTTGTTTATTATTCAGAATTTTATGATTTCATGTTATTTATCTGATAAATAATTTGTTACGTCATTTTCAATCAATTTGCCAGATATCTGCTTCAAACATGAATTGAACTGCAAGCCAATTTGATACACAATAATTAAATCTTGATTTCATGAGAGAAATTGATTTCCACCTGCACTTTTTTTTACCATTTGAAAATTTTGGTTATTATTATTTTTGAAATATTGATTCATGGATGTTTATTGCACGATTTGATCTCTGTTCTTCAAATATTTAATTCCTAGCTTACTGCCAAAAGTTTTTTCATGCTACATAAATTTACGAAATATATGCTAGTGTAATATATTGGTATGAGTTTCACCTATCTTTTATGTTGCCAAGAATATATTTTTGCAAAATACATATACAAAAGGAAAATATGTTTTTTGTCCTTGTAATTATAGCATACGTTGATTTAGATCCCTGCAAAATAAACATAATGTTATTAATCCTTGTAATTTACACTGTTATCTAGGTATTGAGAGGATTTACAGAAAATTATCAAGAAATATCAAGAACAAGAACTGTAAACTTTATTGATGAAGAAGAGTTCCGGCCGAAGCCCCCAAAAGAAAGAGACGATTAATCTCTAACTTTCCCAGTCCAGACTACAATAGTCAAAACAGCCTGCCTCCCCTTCCCAGACTAATTCTATTTATAGACTTCCCATACAGCCTACTCTAGTTATTATTTAATAACCGAAATATAACTACAACTAACTCTTCTATTTATTAGTCTAATAGGTAGATCTCTATCAATACTCCCCTCCTAAACATCCACCTTGCCCTCAAGGTGGGTGATAGAACACAGCCAAGATCCTTTGTTTCCTCTTCATCCTTATGCCTCTCCCTTCCCAATACTTGAATGCTTGCTGGGCGTTTAGCTTCGTTTCTTCCATCTTCTTCCATATGTACTTCACGGCAGTAATACACAGATGCAAGGATATGGTGACATAATGATCCTTAAGTTTGTAAAGGATATAATATCCCAAAGATGCCTGGCAGCTTACAAACCCCACAACCAGTTCAGAAACTTCAGATCCTGATGTCATGTACTGCCGGATGTCTACAGGGGCACCAGCACCACTTGGAGAAAGGAAAACTTGAGTGTTGGTTCCCTTTTTTAGGTGTAATCTTGTTTCCTCTCTTTGCTTCCCTGACTGAGTTTGCATCCAACTTTATTAGCCCGAGTGATGAGAAGGAAGCTATAACCATTCTTCCCATCAAATAGGGTTCCCATTCTATATTTCCAACAGTTTCTCCTAGCTTGATTTGCATTGAAAAAATACTAGTAAAACAGTTCACTTGGGCCTAATGGACTGTTAGGAATTGGGCCTAATAAACATATAGTAATAATAAGTGTATTAGCTAGTATAAATAGACTATACTGGGGAGAAGTCGGGAGGCTGTTTAGACATTTGACTCTGGGACTTGGGAGATCGAGACTTATTCTCGTTCTTTGGGAGCTTCGGCTTTTGGGGGCTTCGGCCATTTCTTGTTCATCATCAATAAAATTTGTAGTTGCTTTCTTGTTGAATTTCTGTGAATAGTGGTAGAATTGCAGAGTCCTATCATGGAGCCTAAGACCATTTGGTAAGGTAGAAAAATTGCTTTAGCTACCAATCCATTAACAGTATACTGAATAGTAGGATCCAGGACCACCCTGATTTTATCCCACGGGTATTCAAGATTAAACTCATCAGCCCATTTCAATCCATAAATAGAATAGTCCCAATTTTCATCAAGTATCAAACTGTCCTTCACTGCCATCCTAAGTTTAACATTGGGGTGAGTGCAGACTGAACCTTTAATTGCACTAATATGTGTATCATCCTTCCACAACTGTTTTGCTAAGCCCCCCCCCCCCCCCCCCCCCCCCCCGAATGACTCAACACCTTCACTCCTGATTTCTTGGTCCTGACTGTCAGCATTCATAACATACTTCTCCCTCATTCTTCTATTAGTAAGTTGGTGAACCATGTTTCCCCTTTTCCAGTGCTCATCTCTTTTCCAGAAAATCTTGATCTCTGTACCAGCAATTTCCATCTGAGATTGCATGTCATGACCTACACCTCCATCTAGCACAATAATACCCACTGTTGACAGTCCCCAAACCTTTTCAATTTCTGTTGCTCCACTCCTTGAAGTTGTAGTATCTGACATGAAGTATTCCCCTGGACTGATAATAACAGCAGGAACATCGATTAACTGATCGACAGCAATGGTAGATTCCATTTCAGAGTTCTTAAAAGAAGTTTTCCAATGGGAGTCCTGTAATCCAGACTTGATATGTGCACACAATGACAGGAATGGTGCAGAACCTGCTGCTATTTCAAGTATAGATACACATATGGTATAGGGAAATTTTGCAAGATAAAGCCGATATTCACAAACTACACCCCCATCTGGAACACTTATACAGATTACTGGCTTTTCCTTAAACTTTTCCTTATCATTCCCAGTTAATCCTACTACTCCCAATCCCTTTAGGATATATTTCATAGAATTCACACCTTCAATTTTGAATTCCTCAATCTGGTTCTGCTCTTCCAACATCCCCTTTGATGAAGGATATTGCACCCTTGGAGCTTCTGGGTTATTTGATGAATCATTTTCTATTCCTTTCACATTTTCCTCTTTCGTCTCCAATTGTTGAACTGAAGGTGCTTTCGGATTATGTAAGTCAAGCTTAGGGTCGTCTAACATGCTCTCAACCCATGGCTGCAATTCTTCTTCTTGTACTTCTGCAACTCGCATACTTGATTCCTCATTTAAGCAATCCCATATCATACCATAGCCTGAAGACTTTGCCCAATTTCCTTGCTCTTGGTCATTGCTTCTTGAGCAGCTTTCCTTGCCCAAATTAGTGTTCTGATATGTTGGTTTTGAACAGCCATTTTCCCCTTCCTCATCTACTTTCTTGAGTACGTTGATCAATTCACCAGTAACAGCCATATCAAGGTACTTTTCTGGTGTCGTATGTACATAGCTGTCATCATTAACAATCTGTGTGTTGTATCCAAAGACTGTAGCAGATTCATCACTCATATAATCCAGTATGCTATTTTAACATCAGATTATATCAAATATCTCTCAGAAGGTATTTCTAACGATGCCTTCCCGTCATCCAATTCCAGTTGAAACATTTGATTCAACGCTGTCATGAAGGACTTCCGTGGGAACGATGAAGTTTGCGCATTATGAAAGACGGTTTGCGACCCAAGCTGCGAACTCCAAGAATCAGTTAGCGACTGCGAAGACTCCTGCGAACAACTGAGGAAACTGGCTCGTGATGACGAGTTGTACGTTTCCGCAAGTAAAGATGCATGTGGACTGGAAGAATAGTCCGGCAACGAAGATGAAGATTCTCCTCTCAATTGCGTCTTTGTTGGACGCGAATCGATAACCGCTGAGTAAGTCTGCGAAGGGAGATACTCTGTTTGCGATTGCGAACGGTGAGAAGATATTTGCGATAGTGAACTAAAAGAAGCCGTCTGCGCGTGCGAACCAAAAGAAATAGTTCGCGACCCCTTCTGCGAGCTGGTGAGTGATCTGCGATGCGACGCGTCAGATGTATGTGACCTGTTCCTCGAAGGACCTGGAAGTCGGCTCTGAATATCCGCGATGGTAGTTTGCATAGCGGCCATCTTCCTCGCCATATCTTCTTGCCTCACTGCTAACTCCTTCTGATTTCTTGCAAAATCTGTGAAGTTTCTTTCTACCTCTGTGATACGTCCTTCCATCTTAGTACGAGTGTATTTCATCCAGCGACAGACGCGCTCTGATACCACTGTTAGAGCTATCTAGGTATTGAGAGGATTTACAGAAAATTATCAAGAAATATCAAGAACAAGAACTGTAAACTTTATTGATGAAGAAGAGTTCTGGCCGAAGCCCCCAAAAGAAAGAGACGATTAATCTCTAACTTTCCCATTCTAAAATAGTCAAAACAACCTGCCTCCCCTTCCCAGACTAATTCTATTTATAGACTTCCCATACAGCCTACTCTAGTTATTATTTAATAACCGAAATATAACTACAACTAACTCTTCTATTTATTAGTCTAATAGGTAGATCTCTATCAACTGTCCTTAAAATGCTCACCTGTCATTTACACATCAACAAGTGTTGAATTTCTAATTCCACCTCAATTGATACGTGTACAAATTAACCCGTTTGATAATCATCCCTACAAATGTAACGTCTATTGTTTTAGATCCTTGCCAGTTTGTTTAATTTTTAATTCCATCTCATTTTAATTTCCTCTCATCTACGTGTTCCTTCACTTTTAAAACTGTGGTGGATGGATACAACATACAAAAGTATATACGTAGTAACAAATTATACAAAATTAACATCATATTGATTTCAAAAAAACAAAATCCAATCACTAAGACAACAATCCATCAGAATTCCAAACCCATAAGATCTCTATCAATACAAATGACTAAAATAAAGTTAAAACGAAACTAAATTCTTTAAAAAATCAATGCCAAGAGCTGGCCGGTGCACCGATTTGGACTGATATTCTTGATTCTCTCATTACTCTTTGCCATATAGCTCTTTGAAGGGATAGGTTATCTGCAGTCATTCACATAGCTCCACTATTTGACTTTTCCTCAACACCGTCAACCGCAATTCCTTTTTTTGGCTTTCTCTATTTCAATTAAGATGTAATTAGTATTTATATAAGAAAAATTGTTAGAAGTAAAAGTAAGATAGTTTACCTTTATTGCTTGGGCTGCCGAGTTCACATTTGTACTTTTGCAACTCCTGGAATTGTGTCCTACCTTATCGCACTTTGTGCACCTATATTGTACATTTACTCTCTTCAATTTTGGAGCACTTTCATCCTCATGAGGTCCCCTCCTCAGTTTCTTTGGTGGTCTTCCCGGACCCCTTTTATATTGTGGAGTAAGCATATCCTCACACTCAACATTTGGCCACATAGACTGTCCATTAATCGGACTTATACCATAGCTATAACATAATTCATACATATTCCTTGTGTAAAACTGACTGACATAATCCTCCGGGTTGTAACCCCTATAAGACATTCCGGCAACAGCATGTCTACATGGTATTCCTATTAATTGCCAATAGTTGCAAGTACACGTGAACTTTTGTAAATCCACAATAAACCTCTGATCAAACTTAGTATGCTGCACTTCAAATGTTTTATCTGTTGTCCATGTAGGTTGCCAGTTTACACTATGTTCTATCTCTCTATCTAATCTTTTCTAGGTTTTGGCATTACCCTATGCTGCCACATACTAAGCTTACCTCTCAATGTAGCAATTCTACTCATCAAGTAGGTTCTTATCCACTCACACATGGTTACAATTGGTTTGTCTCTAGCAACCAAGATAGTATAGAAGGTAATAAATAATTGACATTTAAGGCATAATATTTCATTTAGCCGTTACATATCTTTATCTTTAATATTGTATTATTACCTACCTTATAGACTTGATTAGTGATTGTATAAATAGCACCTATTGTAAACCCTTTTGATTATCATTGAATATACAAAAATCTTTCGCTCCTCTCTTCTCTATTATGGTATCAGAGCCTCACGAGCTCTAACCAGCCATCCTCCTCCTATGGCGGCAGACGACCCCCCCTCAGCAAGGGGACCTCAGAAATCCCCCAGACGGGCAGCCTGTCATTTCTTTAATCAACCCCCTCACTCCAGATGGTTTAATCATTCTCAACCCCAGCCACTTACCAGAAAACTTTAAGGGACGAATTACCTCATATGGCGTGACCAAGTGCTTGACCTCTTGGTTGGCTCTCATCTCGACCATACATTAGTGATGGTGCTGTTCCGCCACCTACCAGTGACGCTGCAGGCCATCTCCGGTGGAATCGGCAAGACCGTCTCCTCCGACATGCTCTTGTCTCCTCCCTGAGCTCGGCGTGCAAACCATTGGTCGGATCCGCACGTACCTCTGCTGCGGTGTGGAAAACCCTTGAGCAACTTTACGGAACCCGTTCAGTAGCTCAAATCCAAAATATGAAGGATGTCTTCCGCCACACTCGACAGGGATCTAAGGCAGTGGGCGAGTATCTCCATCTTCTCCGTACCCTTGCCGACGAACTAGCTAAGGCTGGCCGCCTTGTTGATGATGATGACTTCGTCATTCAAGCCATGGAGGGACTCCGACCCGAGTTTGAATCCTTCACAAACTCTATTCGAACCTGTGGAGATAATAGCTTTGGCAACATCTATACTTTGCTCACTAGTTTCGAAGCAACCCTGCGACGGAAGGAAGCTCTCGACTCATCTGTGATTGTGGTCACCGCTATTACTGCTGCCAGAGTTGCAGAAGACCAGCCTCGTCAAATACTTGCTGGGGAGTCGGTCGCACTTGCGGCCCGCAGAGGAGATCCAGCCCAGTCAATTTTGGGCCCAGGACCACCTGCCCAATTTCAACAGCAGCCCAATCGCACTAATTATCTGAGCAGTAGTTTTAATCGAAACCAGTCCAGGAACCAGCGACCCAATACTCATTACAGTCCCAACTGACGTGGAAATAATAATTTTGGGGGTCCTCCTAGCAACCAGGCACCCCGAAACACCCCGGGGAACGGTAATTTCGGGCCCAATGTTACATGTCAATTTTGTGGGAAACCGAACCATTCTGCTCTCAATTGTTGGCATCGGTTTGAACAACAAGCTTATCCTCCCCAAGTTAATACGACTGTCACTCGTCACAATGGCTGGCTACTTGATTCTGGAGCGACCAATCACGTCACTAATAACCGGAATAATCTTACCTTGGCATCTGATTATACTGGCACTGATTCTCTTGTTATTGGTAACGGTAAAGGTCTTGCGATAGCACAAGTCGGGCATATGACCCTTCACTCTCCTTCATTCTGGAGCGACCAATCACGTCACTAATAACCGGAATAATCTTACCTAATACTCTTTTTGTCCTTTCTATTCATACCAATTTAATTTTTGTCACCAAATTATGTCGTGATAATGACGTACTAATTGAATTTCATTCTTCTTTTTGTCTTATTAAGGACCGGCGAACGGGAGCAATTTTGTTACGGGGTTTGAATAGAGGAGACGTCTACAGTTTGCCAGATGTGCCCCCTCCACCATCTCCATATGTTCACGTCACACAAAAAATTTCCCTTAATAATTGGCATTGTCGCTTAGGACATCCCGCCCTCCCTATCACAAAAAAAATTCTCTCGTCCTTAGGTATTTCTTTTTCTGATGTTGCTACAAATTATTCTTTATGTGTCTCGTGTGCTAGTAATAAAAGCCACAAGCTTCCATTTGCAAACTCATCTCTTACGAGTTCTGGACCTTTAGATTTAATATATACAAATGTTTGGGGTTCTGCTCGTGTTACTTCTTTTGATGACTTTCGTTACTATGTTACTTTTGTGGTTCATTATACCAAATATATTTGGTTTTACTCTATGGCTCAAAAATGTGAGGTCACTCCACTCTTTCTACAATTTAAAAAGATTGTTGAAAAGTTTTTTCAACGCACAATTAAAACAGTTTATTCTGATGGGGGCGGCGAATACATAACCTTAGGAAAATTCCTAAGCACATGTGGTGTTTCTCATTTATTTACCCCCTACACTCCAGTGCCTATGCCATCTTTCTCGGGGAGTCTCTTATATCTTGGGGAGTCTCTTATATCTTGGAGATCAGTGAAGCAGCGCACTATTGCTAAGTCCTCCACGGAAGCAGAATATCAAGCTCTTTGCACCGCTCTCTCTGAAATTATTTGGATCGAATCTCTGTTACTTGAGTTGCATCACCCACTTCTTTCTCCTCCACTCCTCCTGTGTGACAATAAAGGTGCTACTACATCTTCAGTCAATCCTGTCTTCCACTCCCGCATGAAACATGTAGCTATTGATTTTCATTTTGTTCGGCAGTGGGTTCAACGTGGCCTTCTTGAAGTGCATCATATCCCATCTTCTGCTCAGATAGCTGACGCCCTCACAAACCACTACCCCGACAACGCTTTATCTTTCTTCGAGACAAGCTCAGGATTCTTGGAAGTGACAGAACACCTGGCTTGCGGGGGCGTATAGAAGGCAATAAATAATTGACATTTAAGGCATAATATTTCATTTAGCCGTTACATATCTTTATCTTTAATATTGTATTATTACCTACCTTATAGACTTGATTAGTGATTGTATAAATATCACCTATTGTAAACCCTTTTGATTATCATTGAATATACAAAAATCTTTCGAAATATCCAGTTTCCACTCTTTCAACAGTTTAAAAAGATTTATGAAAACTTTTTTCAACGCACAATTAAAACAGTTTATTCTGATGGGGGCGGCGAATACATACATAACCTTAGGAAAATTCCTAAGCACCTGTGGTATTTCTCATTTATTTACCCATTTATTTACCCCCCTACACTCCAGAACACAATGGCTTTGCTGAACGTCGGCATCGTCACATTGTGGAAACTGGTATCACCCTACTTCACCAAGACATTCCTCTTAAATATTGGTCATATGCCTTTCTTCTCTATTAGATAGTACTATTAAATGCTTCAGAAAGGTTGTTCATCAAAACATCACATTTAGAGAAAGAAGAAAAAGCATGCTTACACCATAATTTTGTTGGGACATTCATCAACCATTCCCATACTTTGATATCTAACCTTTTTATCTCTTCCATTTGTTCTTCCCATCCTTTAAAACATGTTGATTTGGCTGCCGACATAATCAGATCTCTCACAGCAGTTCCTCCTCCAAACGTTTTCTTAAAGTTAACATATAGGTGCATTAAACATAGCCTATGCTCCAAACTATCATATAGTTCTTCAAAGACAGAAATCAAGCCCTACACTCATTCAAAGTAAAAGAATTACAAATAATCCAGAATTTAAAAAGATGGTACAAAATATTTGATCTATGTTCTTCAAATATTTAATTCCTAGCTTACTGCCGAAAGTTTTTTCATGCTACATAAATTTACGAAATATATGCTACTGTAAATGTGTAATATATTGGTATGAGTTTCACCTATTTTTTATGTTGCCAAGAATATATTTTTGCAAAATACATATACAAAAGAATCAGCTGCATTCTTTAAATACTTTGTTTCAATTTGCAGGTAATGACACCCCCAACTAAGGGCAGGTCTTCAAAAAAAAATTATTTGAAATATTTAAAAAGAAAAAATAAACTAAAGATGGTGTGTGGCTCGCTTGACAACTATGTTGCTGAAGATTTCTTTGAGAAAAACCTCCCAGTGGAAGCATATAATGCTTCCTCTCAAATGTTAAAGCAATTTGACGTAAGCAAAGATCGGAGTTTTATATATATATATATTAAATTTAATATAATGATTAAATTTAATAACTTTGATTAAATTTTATGTAGGCGGCACCCAGAACACTCTACAGAATATGACATGTCATCAAGTGGACGGCCTAAGGATGCCCACTCATTTCGGAAGAATCGAAGGTAAGCATTATAATTCTCTATAAAAATACATTATGAGTCCCGCGTGAATCGAACTTCCAAAAAGTAATAAACATCGTTTAGATATTGTTTTGATCAGGTTTATATTCTGAAACATAGTCGGTAAACCAGTTTTGATTTAGTTCTAATTTTTAGCATGCTGACAAAAAATAGTCTTGGTTCTTTATTAGAGAAATTATGATTGAAAAATGAGCCCCGCATTAAATGTTTTACCCTATTTAGTGAAGCTTGGGACTGGCCCGATTATATCCTTTTCTTGGCCAATTTATGGTACCCAAGTGGTCCAACCCCGGTTCTGGATATCCGGTTGATCCAGCCCCGGCTCCGGTCTTAGTCCAGACCCATCCCGCTCTTTTTTTTTGTTTTTTTTATTCATGTCCGTTTCCAAGGGGGGAAAATAATCAGTCCAGGACTAAAACCCGCGGGACCAAAACCGGTCATTTTAATCCCCAAATAGGTGAATCGGGATCAGGCACCCGAGCCTCTTAGGCAGACTGGTCCGGTCCTAAACCCCGAACTGGAAATTTTCAATCTGTTCCGATTGGGAAATTTATATTGTTGTTTTTTTTACTGCAAATATTTTGTTTTTTATTAATTTTGTTTTATGTTTTCAATTGAAACCCCTCAGTGCAACACGCGAGGGAACTGTTTTTTACCCATTATTATAAATCATAGTTTGAATTGGAATTTGGATTGTAAAAACACTCCAAGATATAAGGAACATTGTTGTGATTCTTGTTGTTGTGCAATCCATATGCTCTGACCTTTGTTAATCAATATATTTCAGCTCGAGAAAGTGAAAACCACTAAGGAAAGCCGGAGGAGTTCGTTGGAGCGCCGTTACAACATTATTATAACCGTAAAAGCCAAGAATCAAGATACATCCCACTATAGAGTCTATAGTGCCATATTCTGACTCAGAGTAGATAGCTTATTTTTTTGATACATTAGATAGAAAAATATAACTTTTTTGATAGCTTATAGTTAAAGAAGTTTGGATGTTTTGGGTAAATCTTCAAGAAAGAGCAATTTGTAAATAGTCATGAGTAGGCATGGACCCAGTTCGGGCCACCCGGCCTGGGAACCGGCCCGCCCCGCTACTATGCGGGACCAACCCGATGTCTCGGGTCTGAAACCGGTCCTTGGCCCGGTTTGGTAGCTTAAGCGGGGGTGGGCTCAGGTTTCAGAAATGGGGACTCGAGCCCGTCCCCGCTTAAGCTACCAAACCGGGCCAAGGAACGGTTTCGGACCTGAGACATCGGGCCGGTCCGGTCCCGCACGGTGGCGGGGCGGGCCGGTTCCCAGGCCGGGTGGCCCGAACTGAGTCCATGCCTACTCATGACTATTTACAAATTGCTCTTTCTTGAAGATTTACCCAAAACATCCAAACTTCTTTAACTATAAGCTATCAAAAAGTTATATTTTTCTATCTAATGTATCAAAAAAATAAGCTATCAACGCTGAGTCAGAATATGGCACTATAGACTCTATAGTGGGATGTATCTTGGGTTTTACGGTTATAATAATGTTGTAACGGCACTCCAACGAACTCCTCCGGCTTTCCTTAGTGGTCTTCACTTTCTCGAGCTGAAATATATTGATCAACAATGTTCCTGATATCTTGGAATGTTTTTTCAATTTAAACTATGATTTATAATAATGGGTAAAAACAGTTCTCTCGCGTGTTGCACCGAGGGGTTTCAATTGAAAACATAAAACAAAATTAATAAAAAACAAAATATTTGCAGTAAAAAAACCAACAATATGAACTTCCCAATCGGAACAGGTTGAAAATTTTAGGATCGGACCAGTCTGCCCAAGAGGCTCGGGTGCCCGATCCCGATTCACCTATTTGGGGATTAAAATGACCGGTTTTAGTCCCGCAGGTTTTAGTCCTGGACTGATTTTTTTTCCCCCTTGGAAACGGGCAAGAATAAAAAAACAAAAAAAAGAGCAGGATGGGTCTTGACTAAGACCGGAACCTGGGATGGATCAACCGGATATCCAGAACTGGGGTTGGACCACTTGGGTACCATAAACTGGCCAAGTAACGGATATAATCAGGCCAGTCCCAAGCTTCTCTAAATAATGTTTGGGACCAGACTGGGACTGAGTCAACCTATATAGGGTAAAACATTTAAAGCGGGGTTTATTTTTTCAATCATAATTTCTCTAATAAAGAACCAAGATTATTTTTTGTCAGCATGCTAAAAATTAGAACTAAATCAAAACTGGTTTACCGACTATGTTTCAGAATATATACCTGATCAAAACAATATTTAAACGACGTTTATTACTTTTTGGAAGTTCGATTCATGCGTGACTCATAATGTGTTTTTATAGAGAATTATAATGCTTACCTTCGATTCTTCCGAAATGAGTGGCATTCTTGGGCCGTCCACTTGCTGAAATGTCATATTGTGTAGAGTGTTCTGGGCAGCCTACATAAAATTTAATCAAAGTTATTAAATTTAATCATTATATTAAATTTAATATTTATATAAAACTCGATCTTTGCTTACGCCAAATTGCTTTAACATTTGAGAGGAAGCATTATATGTTTCCGCTGGGAGGTTTTTCTCAAAGTAATCTTCAGCAACATAGTTGTCAAGCGAGCCACACACCTTCTTTAGTTTATTTTTTCTTTTTAAATCTTTCAAATAATTTCTTTTTGAAGACCTGCCCTTAGCTGGGGGTGCCATTACCTGCAAATTGAAACAAAGTATTTAAAGAATGCAGCTGATTCTTTTGTATATGTATTTTGCAAAAATATATTCTTGGCAACATAAAAAATAGGTGAAACCCATACCAATATATTACACTAACATATATTTCGTAAATTTATGTAGCATGAAAAAATTTTCGGCAGTAAGCTAGGAATTAAACATTTGAAGAACAGAGATCAAATATTTTGTACCATCTTTTTAAATTCTGGATTATTTGTAATTCTTTTACTTTGAATGAGTGTAGGGTTTGATTTCTGTCTTTGAAGAACTATATGATAGTTTGGAGCATAGGCTATGTTTAAGGCACCTTTATGCTAATTTTAAGAAAAAGTTTGGAGGAGGAACTACTATGAGAGATCTGATTATGTCGGCAGCCAAATCAACATATTTTAAAGGATGGGAAGAACAAATGGAAGAGATGAAAAGGTTAGATATCAAAGCATGGGAATGGTTGATGAATGTCCCAACAAAATTATGGTGTAAGCACGCTTTTTCTTCTTTCTCTAAATGTGATGTTTTGATGAATAACCTTTCTGAAGCATTTAATAGTACTATCTATTATCTAATAGAGAAGAAAGACATATGACCAATATTTAAGAGGAATGTCTTGGTGAAGTAGGGTGATACCATTGTGTTCTGGAGTGTAGGGGGTAAATAAATGAGAAATACGACATGTGCTTAGGAATTTTCCTAAGGTTATGTATGTATTCGCCGTCCCCATCAGAATAAACCGTTTTAATTGTGCGTTGAAAAAAATTTTCAAAAATCTTTTTAAACTGTTGAAAGAGTGGAAACTGGATTTGTGAAAGATTTTTTTATATTCAATGATAATCAAAAGGGTTTACAATAGGTGCTATTTATACAATCACTAATCAAGTCTATAGGTGGGTAATAATATAATATTAAAGATAAAGATATGTAACAGCTAAATGAAATATTATGCCTTAAATGTTTAATCAATTATTTATTGCCTTTTATATGCCCTCGCAAGCCAGGTATTCTGTCACTTCCAAGAATCCTGAGCTTGTCTCGAAGAAGGATAAAGTGTTGCCGGGGAAGTGGTTTGGTGAGGGCGTCAGCTATCTGAGCAGAAGATGGGATATGATGCACTCCAAGAAGGCCACGTTGAACCCGCTGCCGAACAAAATGAAAATCAATAGCTACATGTTTCATGCGGGAGTGGAAGATAAGGTTGACTGAAGATGTAGTAGCACCTTTGTTGTCACACAGGAGGAGTGGAGGAGAAAGAAGCGGGTGCCGCAACTCTTGTAACAGAGATTCGATCCAAATAATTTCAGAGGCAACGGTGGAAAGAGCTCGATATTCTGCTTCCGTGGAGGACTTAGCAATAGTGCGCTACTTCACTGATCTCCAAGATATAAGAGACTCTCCGAGAAAGATGGCATAGGCACTGGTAGATGAACGGTCATCAGGATTCCCTGCCCAATCAGCATCAGCAAAGGCACGAAGAATAGGGGAGGTGCTGCGACAAAGATAGAAGCCATGAGAGGCAGTGCCTTGCAAATAGCGCAAAAGACGTTTGAGAAGTTGCCAGTGATTAACCATAGGTTTATGCATAAATTGAGCTAATTTGTTAATAGCAAAGGCAGCATCTGGGCGAGTGAGATTCAAATATTGAAGAGACTTGAGGACTTGTCGATAGAGAGTGGCATCACAGGAGCCTGAACTGTCAAACAGAGTTAAGGAGGCTTAAGAAGCTAACGGTGTGGCCACAAGATTAGCCTCATCCATTTTTAAAATTTTTAATAAGTCCATAATGTATTTATGTTGATCAAGAAAGAGTCCACCCTGTGTAGGAGTAACCTGCATGCCCAAGAAGTAGTGTAAGGCTTTTAAATCCGCATGTCCTTTTCAATGTTCTAAGGTAACTCGCATGTCCCCCACAAGCTGAGTCATGAAATTCTTTCAAAACATGAGTAATTCTTGCAGAATTTCTTGGTAACATGAGAGGTGAGTAGAGAGGGAGAGCGATCAAGCATCATCATGTCTGGCGTGCCATACGCATATTATGAGTGCGCGGTAGAATTGGAGACAGATGTAGTGGACGATCCTCGATCTATAGTCAGGATTTGTGTGGCCGGGGATTCTTGCTATGTTAAGACATGGTGGTGCCCTGTCAAAGGCGGCCACGAAGAACTTCTTGCTATGTACAGGATCGAGGAATACACTGACATGAGGGATGCAAGTGTGGCGAATATTGGCTTGGAGAAGATGCTTGGCGGAGGATCAGAAGAAGAACTCGCCGCTTTAATCACTGATAAAGTTCTGTCTCCGGTCCTAGAGCCAGCCGTGTGCCGAGATCAACTCAAATCCCTCGTAGTGTATACCATCATTCCTCGTGCTCGTAAATTGCTCAGTGGTGAACTGCTTCTCATCAACCACACTAATAAATGCTCAAGGTTATTCTTGATTTCCATATCCGTGGCTGTAAACTTGCACACAATTGTATTTGGAAGCAATATGATCAAGATATTGAAACAAGCCGAGCAGCTGCAGGATAAATACAATCCGTTTTCTCAAATGCCTCTGCCCATTACAGTGCCCCATGGCCATATAAGTACCTAGCTTATGGCGAAGAAGGAGATGCAGACAGATGCTCAATTTGTTTGGAGCAATTCGAGGTGCCCTCCAAGTTGTTGTTGATTCGCCTCCAATGCCTGGACGAGCTTTACAACCCGGAGCATTACCAGGAGAGGCCAGGGGCTGCATTGCTGTTGCCATGTAAGCACATTTTCCACCCAAGTTGCATCTTAAACTGGATATTGAAAAAAAGAACACCCCCTATTGCTTCCTGCCCCCAATGCAGGTTTCGCATCCCTCCCTTCACTCTCATGCTTTCTCTTCTGCACATGTTTCCTCTTAAAGTGGCTCCAGGTATGGAGATGGAGTTGGATGTTGATTAGGGGCAACTTCATGTATTCATGTATGTATGTATGTATAACTTGAAACTCAGTAACATTACTGGAACAAGGCTCACATTTATGAACCCCAAGGATATTTTATTGAATTGGTCTGGAAATATATAATAGATACAAAATATATCTTGTTGTGTTTCTTTCATTTATGATCTTGTTACTCTGTTTTTGTATTCTTCTCAATCTTTGCTTGCTAGTACTAGGTGTTGGAGATATATGTCCTAGGATAATCGGTAAGCTTTATATTAAGGAATATATATACCAGCGCCAAGTGCAATTTTAAAGGGGCATACAGCCAAAAAGGTATCCCCCTCACAGCTATGAAACCAAAGTGGCATCCCCCTCACAGCGATGTACAGGAATACTCATCATTCAGGGTATCCAAAACCTACAAATATAAAACTAGAGAAACCTCATCAACAATAGCAAACAAGCAGCAAAACACTTTCCAACCAACCCCAAGACAAAAGGGGGAGGGGAGTTCAAAATTCAATCATATATCGAGGATATAGCATATACAGAACCTCGTAAGTTAAGAGTTCATTAATATGCACAAACATGTGCTGACCCATTGATAACATTTCCTCCAAACAGTAGAAGTAGAGCAGCAAAAGGCCAAACGAATAGCCTTACTACTCAACTGGGCACCTGTAAATTCCTTCTTACAAGCACTTTACCACCTTTCTTAATAAGGTAGACATTGATCTTTTCACTCCCAACCATAGGCAAACATTTTTGCATACCAGACCAGTAACTTTTTTGCATACCAGACCAGTAACTGGGAAACTGGGAACTAAAGACTAATGTGTTTCATGGCAAAATCAACACTCCTCTCAATTTTATATGAACCTTTTCCATATAAAGTTAATCCATGGCTTACTCTCACTCTTTGTTCTTAACACGTCATACACTTCAGAAGATAAAATATTTCCATTTGAGCAGCCCACATTTTTTCTCAACCACGATAACTTCCTCACCTCTTAACTCGCACACCAACCTTTCCATAATATTTCCCAACATCTTCACAAGGGAAGAAGCTCTCACTGCAGGCTGTCACTCCCAAAATGACACCTGACACCCTCTCCCATATAGTAGCAATGGAACTATTTGACCCAAAGGGAGTCTTTCTTAGCTGGGATATTCCGTAAAGTTCTAGCTAAACAGCCCAGATCAACCCTTTTACCTCTTCTAGGCCCAAACCCATGCCACTTTAGTCCCTTCTTCCATCCCACAAAAACTCCCTACAGGTAGCACTAATTCTACCAATCACAGTAGCAGGCACAGGCATGTGAAAGGTTTGCAACTAATAGGATTCCACACCTTGTACCAATGCCCTAATAAGCTCCACTCTACCTTGCAAAAGACAACAGTTTCAGGTTTCTATTTTGAAATATACTCCTAGTCTTCAGTTTTGCTAATCAAAGGGGCGGAGTGGGAAGCAACCCTCCTGGACAGGTAATACTCAGAATATCAGCTTTGTCCTGACCCAAAACTCCTGCAATAAAGGCATTTGACTTTTGTTGGCTCACAGTCAACCCTGAAACCTCTACTTTGAACTCCTCCAAGCTTCTCGTGAGTCCCCAGTGAAGATATATATTACTAGAATTATGTGGTTGATATTGAATTGATAAAGTATGAGTAAAGCAAAAAAGAATTACAACTACTCAAAATAGCCGAGATCGGGCAGGGCCTGCGCCTGCTCCTTTTTTCGTTCGACTGAAGAGTGAAGACTGAAGATCGAAATAGGGATGGATACAACATAAGAAATGAGAACAAATGTTCAAAGGAAAACCAGAGTCGACTGTGGGAAACAATAATAATTGATGAAAAAGAGAATGGCGAGATGCAGCAAACCCTAATAAATTCGCCGCCGCTTTAGGTGATTTCAGTCGATCGGGGCGTGGAGAAGAGCGGTGCAGGGCTTCCTCCGCAACTAGGTAGGGGGAGGGATCGGGTTTGTGGGCTAACCCCAGGAATAAAGGATTATGGTTGTGATATGGAAGCATTGTGGTGGTTCAGATTAATAGTATAATCCTATAGTTAGGTCATGATTTGTAAAAGTTTAGAAATATCCTATTAGTATTGAACTACATTCTCATATGCAGGAGGGCTGTTTTGAAGTCCCATTGACACATATTTTATGGTCAAGTACTGTAGAGAGAGTTCTGATTTGAGTAGTTGGGAAACAAATAAAGCAGCCTCTGTTTATTAAATTGTTTATGTGCCTTTGAAAAGATTGTTTATGTTATTAAAGAAGTTTGTGGAAATAACACTAAACAATATCAATAGCCTCTTTTAGTAAAGCACTATTTAAACGTTCAATAAACAATAAAAACGCAGATCGCTTTAACTGGTTCAAGGTTCCTTTCCGCGGAAAAGTCAACATATTCTGAAAACCAATAACACATTATTCACTTTAACATAACTTCTTAATTGTTGCACACAAACAAGGTTTTTTTTATGTATTGAAAAATATATAAAGAAAACACAGAGGTCTAAACTGAAATGCTCAAGGGTGCTTGCAAAACAAAATGTGTGGCCATGGGTGTGGGGGTAGGGTAGCAGAAAACTCTGGGCGTATTAATATTCCAGGTCCTAGCCTCTTAGATGATTTAGAATGATGCGGACAAACCAACTTGTATGTAAGGTCAATACCTCAATAATTTATAATTTCTCTTATTCCATGAGGCTTAAAATTAAACATTGTTTTTTTTAACGGTACCAAGTTTTTTTGTAAACGTAATTTACAAATTATTATATAAATCTTGTTGCTTTTAAATAAAACGTAAATAAGAGGAGGATTGACTGCTTTTTATCTCGCTCACCAAGTTAAACAACCGCACGTAGCTATAAAAGGCTGATAGGTTATCAGGATTGAATCTTGAATTCAGAGATGGAGAATAAGAGCGCAGGATTCAAGGACATTAAAAAAGAGAAAATATGAAAACAAAATAAAAACACAGGGAAGTGCAAATGTGACACCCTAATATAAAGGCTGCTTATGGATTCTTAAAGCCCCCAATCCTGATAGCGAATACCCTAAGCTTACGTGGGTTTCATGTAGCTTGCTTCACTGTAAACTTGAGTCTTATGGATTCTAACATAAATTTCAGTTCTAGAATACACAATGATAGTAAAATACTAAAATGTACTGTAAGATGGAATATGGAATTAGTCTATCTGAAATTGAATAATAAAAAAAATTCCCAGTAGTTAAACCTCTGTTTTCAGTCTACTTCATATAGAATTAGGCTGCCTGGAATTCCAGTTTTCAAATCTTTTGAATAATAGTAAGATTCTATTTTGGGGTTTCCCTGAATTTGAATGTCATAAATTAACTTTTAAAGGTAGTAAATGCAACTTGGAACTTGTGTATCTGATACAAAAGGAGTTCAGTCTGGTTCATGTATAAAAGCCATGTATGAATCAAACATTGCCAAAAGAAAGAAATAGTTAACATTTTCTTTTAAAATCAAACTATTTAACAGGGATAATATAATTGTTGCATCAAGAAGCGACAAATGTGGAATATTTGTAAGATGGAATATGGAATTAGTCTACCTGAAATTGAATAATAAAAAAAATTCCCAGTAGTTAAACCTTTGTTTTCTATCTACTTCATATAGAATTAGGCTGCCTGGAATTCCAGTTTTCAAATCTTTTGAATAATAGTAAGATTCTATTTTGAGGTTTCCCTGAATTGTTGAATGTCATAAATTAACTTTTAAAGGTAGTAAATGCAACTTGGAACTTGTGTATCTGATACCAAAGGAGTTCATGTATAAAAGCCATGTATGAATCAAACATTGCCAAAAGAAAGAAATAGCTAACATTTTCTTTTAAAATCAAACTATTTAACAGGGATAATACAACGTTCGCAATTGCGCAATGCAATTGCGCCTTGAGGCGCGCATCTGCTATTTCCCAGTCTGAGGCGTAATATTGCATTGCATATTGCGATGCCATCTATAGGGTACGTTATTAAGCCTAAGGCGTACGCAATTTAACTTGCACCATGAGGCGTATATAAGGCGTAGGATAGTTGTTTAGTGGGTCAATGTTAAGTTTGGTCCGCTGGGCCCACTTATTACTTATATACGGCCTTAGCAAGTTGGCAGTTCCATTGTATACGCCGTTTCTTCCCATTCGGAATGCTACGCAATTAGCAGTTCCTTCCACAGCCATCAACAGTTCGGCGCAAATTGCAGAGCCTTCTTCCAGTTTGGTCGCAATCAGCAGAGCCTTCTTCCAGTTTGGTCGCAATCAGCAGAGTTTGGTAGCAATCTGCGGTACTCCTCTTTTTTATGCTTAGTTTTTGTTTCTATTGAATTTGATACAGAGTACTTAATATCAATGTTAATTTTCTGCCTATTAATACTTTGTTTTTCCTTCAGTTAAATTTTCAACTTTCAAGAGACCAATATTTTTTCCCAGTTTATATATATATATATATATATATATATATATATATATATATATATATATATATTATATAATGATAACTTCAACTCTGTACTCTTTTTTATGCTTCTCTGTTGATGCCTTTTTGTTTCTATTCACTTAAACACTAATTAGTAATGTTAATTTTCTGACTATTAATATTTTATTATTATCCTTTGATTAAGTTTCAACTTATCAATATTTTTTTTCAGTTATTTATTTGTTGGTTTCTCTTGAATAATGCTTTTTGATATATGTATATATATATATATATATATATATATATATATATATATATATATATATATACGCCTCATTGCGCAATGAGGCTTACGCAATATGCAATTCTTAAAATCCGCCATGATTACGCAATACGCAATTACGAACATTGGGATAATATAATTGTTGCATCAAGAAGCGACAAATGTGGTTGTTACAATAGACAGAATTATAAACAATGTCTACTGCCAATCAATTAGCAGCTAACCTTGGTTTCAACTGGGCAATAATGGACACATTATGAAAAACATAGTCTACTAGATCAAATCTTTCTTTATAAGCCCTTGTCTTGGAAAAGAAAGGGGAAAAATGGCTGGAATGCAGTCCTCAAAGCTTAAAGAAAAGATTAAAATGGTGATGCCTTACTGCCTTAGCAGGGGAAAAGGGGCAAATAAGGCCACGTACTAACCAAAAAAGGTCAAATAAGGCCTTATTTATGAGGCTCTGTCCGGCCTTCGCCATTTGGGGTGGTTCTCGGTGGAATTTTTTGATTAATTTTTTTGACCATCTTATTCATTAAGTCTAGTTTGCTCATACCAAGTTTCAGATAAAAATTTAATCGAGAAGGCATTCAAATGAATTCTTGAAGATAATTGCGCAGTTAAAAGCGCAGTTATCTTCAAGAATTCATTTGAATGGCTTCCCGATTGAAGTTTTAGCTTAAATTTGGTATGAGTAAACTAGACTTACTGAATAAGATGCTCAAAAAATTTCATCAAAAAATTCCACCTAGAACCAACCCAAATGGCGAAGGTCAGAGTCTCATAAATAAGGCCTTATTTGACCTTTTTTTGTTAGTACGTGGCCTTATTTGCCCCTTTTCCCGCCTTAGCGGTGAACAAATAGGATGTGATAGCACAAATGAGATTACTAAATTTAATTTGGAGATACATTGCTCCAAATGTGATAACACATAGCTAGCAGGTAGCAGTGCTCTAAATACAGATGTGGGAGACTTGATTAGACATTTAATTTGCTCGGGTTTTAGTTTTAGGGGGTCTGGATCACACCTTGATAGCAAAGGGCAATGCTACATGACCTCCGTGGGTTATATGTTCATTTTTAAAAAGAATTGGATATATAAGCGCCTATTACTTTAGGGAAATGGACCATCCTATATAGTACTGGTATCTTATATGAATCAAACTCTGCCATTAGAAAGCAATTTTTGAGAAAAAAGTCAGACTATTTGACACGAAGTCATCGTATTTTTAAGGTGACAAATGAAATTGCTATTACTTCCGTCCCACTCAACTTTGCCAAGTTGATGTTAGGTGTGAAATTAGAATAGTAAAATTTGTGTGGTTGAGGTTTGTGCAGTGGAAAGAGAAATGAACAGAGCCACAAAAACATTGCTTTAAAAAGAAAGTGGCAAAGTTTTTTGGGACAAACGAAAAAGGAAAGTTGGCAAAGTCCAGTGGGACGGAGTGAGTATATAACATAGAATTAAGAATTTAATACTATTGCTGAATAAGAGCAATAGCTTAACTTGGTCTCAACTGAACAGCAGAAACCCTTTTCCATTCACAAAAATGTGGAAATATCTATCCAGTAATCCTTAGAAACACATCATTTACTTATTCTGAAATGTGGGCCTAATCCTTTGCTTATTTCACACTAATATACAACTCATGTTTTTTATCTCGGTCAACAACAAACAATCAAAACAATAAACATGCATAGGAACTGACGTATAATATTTTCCTGAAAAAAACATGTCAGACAGATTAAGAACATCATTAAGCAAATAATGGAAATTTCAACCTATCGTATATTCATATATTATGGTAAGAGGTTAATTTTAAAGATACTTTTTTATATCATAATTTTAAAGATACTTGAATTTGACAATTTACACGAGTAATGGATTACACGTACAAATAAAAGAGAAAAGATTTTGGTGATATATATAATCAAGAGAATTCAGTAAAATATTACCAAGTATATGACTAATAACTTATTTTAAAGTCATGTTTAGTTCGTTGTTAAAGTCACAGTTAGATAAAAAGTTGCTTACTAACCGAAAGATGTGTTTAAAATGCCGCTTACTAACATACCACCTTCATGCATTAATTAAGTGATACTTTAAACTTTTTCGGTTTTCGAATTTACCCTTGTCCTTACTCTTTATAGTTACCTCGTACTATTGCCCACATACCCCTGACTCCTAACTCTATCTATCTCCCCCACCCCTACCTTACCCGGACCCCACCCCCACCCTCTACCCCCACTACAAACAAATCGCCATATACTAATCGTAAAAAAATGTTGGTATAGATGTATACAGGAGTGTTGGTATAGACACCAACACTCCCCTATATATACGTGAAGTGTTTCAACGATAATGAGTATATATATTCCGTTGAACGGTTAAGTCAAAATATGTTTGACCGAATACGTCAAGTTTCAAATTAAGTCACTAAGTAAATGTTGATATATAACTAAGCGATTAAGTCATTATGGATGTTTTTACTAGCATAGTTTTCAGTACCAGACCAGACTTAAATAGACATGACAAGACCAAACTTAAACCGTCCAGATCAGATTTAAACAGACCAGACTAGAGCAGATTTGATTTTCGTGGTTATAATAAAGTACACAGAGACCAGCCGTTTACCAGACCAGACTTAAATGGATTAGAATTAAACAGAGTAGATAATTACAGTCCAAGTAAAAACATCATATATCTTTTAAGTGCATTAAGTCGTAAATAAATGTGGCCGAAGTTAATGAAGCTAAGAATGTCAGGAACTCGTTCTATTATGACAAGAGTCGTCATGGGCAAAAATCTCAGCCCACCCCATAAATTAATTCCCAGCCCAGATAGAGCCGTCAAAATGGGCCGAAACACGCGGTCCGGCCCATTTAAACCCATTTATTGGTGGGTTAGGGTTAAGAATTTCTGGCACATTTAGTTCGCGGGTTTCGCGGGTCAACCAACGCAGGTTGCGGGTTTAAGTGGGTTGGCCCACCGGGTTGCGGGTTGGCCCTAAGGTTAAAATACAAAAATATAGTTTTGAATTTTATTATCTTAAATATTGTTCTTTTACTACCAATATTATTATAATTACAATTAAAAAATTACAACCATGGGAAACCAATATTATTTCTATAATAAATATTCAAATAAAATGTTAAAACGTATATTTTATGTGAAGTTCGATACAATATTTAACAATTAGTAGTCATTAATTACAATTAATTAATCAAAACGTTCATGTAGATCTTTATTTTTTTTATACAATGAGTATTTTTGTCGCATACCTCTTATAGTTTTCAAATTCTAGTATAACTAGTATTTTATATTTTTAATTAAACTTAACAAGTATTGAATTTTTAGTATTTTAATTTCTTATATTTACTTTGTTACTACTTACTAATATAAATATATATTTCCGGGTAATTATTTTTAATGATTTTTTTGATATATGTTTTTTCACATTGGCCCGCGGGCCAACTCTTTAACCCACGGGTTAGTGGGTTGGGTTAAGGTTGTAGAAATTCTGACCCATCATTAAACGTGTTGGCCCGAGGTAATATAGGCTGAAACTGGATATGCAACCGGAGGTAAGGAAAGACCGGAGGTAAGGAAAGACCTATTTATATTTTATAGTGATTGTAATATGCACTGGATATGCATATGCACTGTAATATAGGCTGAAACTGTTGTCATTCTTGGATATGCATATGCTCTGAAACAGGCTGAAACTGTTATCAAACCGTTTTCTTGTGATTTCAGCTAATTTTGTTAATCAATATATTTCAGCTCCAGAAGGTGCAAGACAGTGAGGAATGCCGTAGCCGGAGTACTATTGTAATGCTTAATATAGTCATTATTAAACCAAAAACAAATTCTCCTTTAGTACCGTATGGAGATTCAGACTAGATACTATATAGAGCGGTTCGTATCATCCGCAAAAAAAAAAAAAAAATCAAACCAAAAGAAATGTAATCTCATTGACCAATTTGTAAGCTAGCTACTAATGAATTAAAGTAAAATTACCATTTACTCTAATTGTTAGCTACAACTTCTTCCTTTTCATTTATTAATAATATTAGTATTGGCAGGACGGAGAACTAACTCCCACGTCTGATTTTTAATTAAAGCACTAAATTCATATCCATAAGGGTATTTGGTTATGTATTGAATGTGTTGATTAAAGTAATACGGTATTTGGTCCAACCAAATATGAGGTTTTTGAGTAAAAATCAAAAGCCAAATTAAAGTAATACCGCTATGGATATGATTTTTACTCAAAAAACCCTTATTTGGCTTGGACCAAATATCGTATTACTTTAATCTACACATTCAATACATAACCAAATACCGCTATGGATATGAATTTAGTGGTTTAATTAAGAATCAGACGTGGGAGTTAGTTCTCCGTCCCGCCAATACTAATATTATTAATAAATGAAAAGGAAGAAGTTGTAGCTAACAATTAGAGTAAATGGTAATTTTACTTTAATTCATCAGTAGCTAGCTTACAAATTGGTCAATGAGATTACAATTTTATTGGTTTGATTTTTTTTTTGCGGATGATACAAACCGCTCTATATAGTATCTAGTCTGAATTTCCATACGACACTAAAGGAGAATTTGTTTTTGGTTTAATAATGACTATATTAGGCATTACAGTAGTACTCCGGCTACGGCTATCCTCACTGTCCTGCACCTTCTGGAGCTGAAATATATTGATTAACAAAGTTAGCTGAAATCACAAGGAAAACAGTTTCAGCCTGTTTTAGAGCATATGCATATCCAAGAATGACAACAGTTTCAGTCTATATTACAGTGCATATATGCATATCCAGTGCATATTACAATCACTATAAAATATAAATAGGTCTTTGCTTACCTCCGGTTGTTTCGAAATTAGTGGCACTTGTGTTATTTTGTAGAGTCTTCTGGACAGCCTATATAAAAAAAATTAATCAAAGTTATTAAATTTAATCATTATAATAAATTTAAATAATCGGGTCTTTGCTTACATGAAATTGGTCTGCCATTTCAGAAGAAACTCTATCTTGTTCGACTCGGGAGATTTCCTCAACACAATCTTCAAGAATATAATTATCAAGCAGGCCATCCCCTTTCAGTCCCCTGTTCTTTCTTTTGAAATAATTGTGTTTTGAAGTCCTGCCCTTTTTCGGGAGGGGGTGCCATTACCTGCAAATGGAAACAAATATATTACACTAGCATATGTGTATTTTGCAAAAATATATTCTTGGCAACATAAAAAAATAGGTGAAATTCATACCAGTATATTACACTAGCATATATTTCGTAAATCTATGCAGCATGAAAAATCTTTCACCTAAGTGTAGATATGGCAATCCCACCAATGTGCAATTCCTTCCTTGCTTGTCAATACACCAGTATACATCCGGCAGTACATGGCATCAGGATCCAGAGTGGTGGTGGGGTTTATAAGCTGCGAGACATCTTTGGAAAGGTTCGTGATCCCACAATCAGTTCGATATTAGGAAGGGAGAGGAACAAGGAAGAGGAAGCAAAAGATTTTGGCTTTGTCCTATTACCCACCTTGAGGACAAGGTGGATGTTTAGGGAGGGAGTATTGATAGGAACCCACTTATATAAGACTAATAATAGAAGTACTAATAAGAATATTAGTAATAAGGACACTTGATGTATTGTTGTATAAATAGATGGGAAGGGGGAGTAGTGAGGAGGCTTTTGGGACTTTTGGACTGGGACTCGGAAAGATGAGAGAGTTATTCTCTTCTCTTTTGGGAGGCTTCAGCCTTGTTCACTGTTTCTTTTCTGTAATCGATATCTTCTTCAATAAAATTCTTCAGCTGATTTCTTGTTACTATTCTTGTAATTGTTCTGGAATTCTGGAGGTTCCTATCATAAGATGATAAATAGGGTCACCAAACGGGCTCTTATTAGACATGAAAATCAATTTACTTTTTAGGTGTTACTTAGTACAAGCCTAGAGTGTCTTCTGAACTCTGCACACTGCCTCGTAGACTGATCTGCATTATTGCACATCAGTCATTGAATTCACATCACCTTGGTGTGCTTCTCCTATTGAGTAATAATTTTTTCTTTCACTTGTCCTCCGGTTTAAAGGAAAAAAGAGGCAAAGTGAAGGGAAGTTTATTTTTTCCAGCTACACGATAACTGATATCAATTTCTTTCTTCCAATGCAATTGTAACTTTTCTACATTGCTTTTCTGAAGAATAATTTTTTTCCTGCTCTTTCCCAATGCGATTGCAACAATATTTTGCATCTTTTTTAGTCTGCTTTTTCCAAAGCGGTTGCAACAATTTTTTACATGCTTTTTTAGCGTGCTTTTTATTCCAGCATGATCGAAGTATATATGAAATCTCAACAGTATTTTATCAATTATTTTGTGACAGCCACAGTTTTTTCCCATTTTTGGGCAGATATTCTTTGTAAAGTTTTTGTTATAGTAAATCTGGCCCATTTAATGTTTTTTCTATAGGATTATACTTTACGCTATAGCCTTAGTAGCTGATGATCAGGAAAGTGTGGAGGGTTATAAAGTTATCAAGACCAGGGATAGGATAGATCGTTTAGCTCTTTATCACTCTTCAGTGGGCAGGTTATTTAGTGATTTCTCACCTTTGCCTATTGATTATTTCATAAAATGCGTGTTTAAAGTTAAAACATGTATTTTATTATTAGTGATATGCATTTTTGATGAAGTACAACAACAACATCCAAGTCTTAGTCCCAAAAGATATTGGGGTCGGCTAACATGAATCGATACATGAATATCACCACCAAAAGGAAAAGAAAGAAAATAAAGATAAAAAGATAAGCTATTATTAAAAAAATATAAAAAGAGATGAATATACATAAAATGATAAAATAAAAAAGATACAAATAATGCATATATATATATAAGGATAAAAAAAGGAAAAAAGAGATGAGGGGAAAAGGTGATACGAGATCACTCCTCCACACGAATACCCGTCCTCCACTTAGCTCTCTCCAAAGTCATGTCCTCATCCAACCCCAGAAGAAGCATATCACTTCGAACTGTCCTAACCCACGTCTGTTTGGGCCTTCCTCTCCCTCTCTTCCCTGCCTCTTCTCCACACATCTCAACTCGTCTGACAGGTGCATCACTCGGTCTTCTACGCACATGACCAAACCACCGTAGGCGCGACTCCCGCATCTTGTCTTCAATAGGTGTTACTCCTACTCTTTGTCTGATTGTTTCATTCAACGCGGTCCTTCCTAGTATGCCCACACATCCAACGTAGCATGCGCATCTCTGCCACACTCATCTTTTGAATGTGACATTGTTTCACCGCCCAACACTCTACGCCATATAGTAATGCATGCCTAATTGCTGTCCTATAAAATTTGCCCTTCAGTCTAGTCGGCATACCTCGATCGCATAGAAATCCTGACGCACTCTTCCACTTCATCTACCCTGTTCTGATTCTACGGGATACATCTCCATCTAACTCACCGTCCTTCTGAATTATGGAGCCCAAATAACGGAACATATCGCTGACCGGTATCTCTTTACCATCCAGAGTAATTCCGCTATTACCACTGCTTCTACCTCCACCAAACTTGCACTCCATGTACTCTGTCTTGCTCCGACTTAGTCTGAAACCTTTATTCTCCAATGTTTGTCACCATACTTCCAACTTTGCTTTAAGACCTGATTGCGTCTCATCAATCAATATAATATCGTCGGCAAACATCATGCACCACGGTATATCGTCTTGAATTGACTTCGTAAGTTCATCCATGACTATGTCAAATAAGAAAGGGCTCAGAGCTGATCCTTGGTGCACTCTGATAGTAATAGGGAACTCTTCAATCCTCCCTACACTGGTACGGACACTTGTAGTACAATCCTCATACATATCCATGATGATGCTGATATACTTGCGTGATATGCCTTTTCTAGTTAAGGCCCACCAAATAACTTCTCGAGGTACCCTATCATATGCCTTTTCTAAGTCAATGAACACCAAATGCAGATCCTTATGAGCGTCTCTATACTTCTCCATAAGTTGACGAAGAAGGTGAATGGCATCCGTTGTTGAGCGACCAGGCATAAAACCGAATTGATTATCTGAAATCTTCACAGTTCTTCGAAGTCTTTGCTCAATCACTCGCTCCCAAAGTTTCATGGTGTGACTCATAAGCTTAATCCCTCGATAGTTGGCACATTCTTGTACATCACCTTTATTCTTAAATAAGGGGATAAGAGTACTCTTCCTCCAACTCGTTGGCATCTTGTTGTTTCTCCAAATCATGTTGAAGAAACTTGTTAACCACTCGATGCCTCTTTCTCCCAAACTTCTCCAAGCCTCGATCTGTATGGTATCTGGACCCATTGCTTTCTTCCGCCCCATCTTCCTCAGAGCTTCTTTAACTTCAATTTTTTGGATCCTTCTCACAAAATCACGATTTACCATACACTCTGGTATGGACAAATCACCGATATCTTGCGTTTTGTTCCCATTGAATAGTGTATCAAAGTATGACCTCCACCTCTCTTTAATCTCTCCGTCGTCCATTAATATCCTCTGATCGACATCCTTCACACATTTAACTTTTGCAATATCTTGAGTCCTGCGATCACGAAGACGAGCAAATCTATAAATATCTAGCTCTCCTTCCTTAGAGACCAACTTTTCATACAACTCCTTGTTCACTTTCCCTCGTGCTTCCTTTACGGCTTTCTTTGCTTGTCTTTTAGCCTCCTTGTATGCTTCTATGTTCTCATTACTCCAACTTGTCCCCAACTTTTTGTAGCAATCTCTTTTGTTCCTTATGGCTTGTTTCACCTCATCATTCCACCAAGATGTGTCCTTTTTAGGTGGCAGACATCCTTTAGATTCTCCAAGTACCTCTTTTGCCACTCTGTTAATGGTCAACTCCATTGATAACCACACATCATCCACATGTGTTTCATTATCAATACGCCATACATCTTCACCGATCATTTTGTGTGTAAAGCTTTGTTGAAGATCTCCCTCAAGCCTCCACCACTTTATCTTTGGCTCCATTTGTTGTTTAACTTGTCTTCGATGGTTCTTACCTCGAAAGTCAAGCACAAGCATCCTATGCTGAGTGACAACACTCTCACCTGGAATAACCTTACAATCAGTGTAGCTAGTTCTCCAAGTGGTCCGTACTAAGAAGTAGTCAATTTGGGTACTATTGGTTCCAGTTTTATAGGTTACAAGGTGAGAGTATCTTTTCTTAAACCAAGTATTCATTATAGCCAACTCATACGTCGAGGCAAAATCCAAAATGTTCTTTCCCGCCTCATTCCTAGTTCCAAAACCATGTCCGCCATGAATACTCTCAAAGCCACCCCGACTCGAGCCCACATGCCCGTTGAGATCACCTCCTATGACCAACTTCTCTCCCCTTGGCACTCGTCGCACCACGTCTTCAAGATCTTCCCAGAACTGTTCAATTGTAGATGCATCCAATCCCACTTGTGGTGCATAGGCACTTACCATAGACACAATCTCACCCCTTATCACCAATTTAATGCTCATGATGCGATCGTTCTTCCTGAAGACTTCTACCACATCCTCAACATAGTCGCGCGCCACAATAATGCCAACCCCATTTCTGGTCTTATCTCTCCCCGAGTACCACAGCTTAAAACCTCCGGATTAATCTCGCGTGCTTTCTCTCCAACCCATTTAGCTTCTTGCACACACATAATGTTGATATTCCTTCTCCTCATAACCTCGACTACCTCGGAAGCTCTGCCTGTAAGAGACCCAACATTGCATGTCCCAAAACGCAATCTAGCACTCCACCTTCTGTTCTTAGCCCCATCTCGGCCCCCAGCATGCCCTTGCATATTTGACATAATGCCCAGCATGCCCCTGCATTTTTGATGAAGTAAATTTGAAAATTAAACATTTCTGGTTGTAGACTTGTAGCAACCTTTATCTTAGTCTGGTTTTCACTTTTTAGGTAATCTGAAATTTATAATGACCAAAAATATTTTGGCACGAATAATCACCACTCTTTTTTATGATACGCAGATAGTAAAGTAATGAGAGTTTCAGAAGAATAAATACGAGTAATACTTAAGATGCTTTTTGTTAAATTGGAGGTTATAAGCATTCTAGTGTATTCTTTTTGTATGAACTTGGCTCTTATCGGAATTCAGTGAGTCATTTATTGCAACATGATAGTTTACCATGCATATAGATTTTTTTTTGGGCAGATTTGCATGAAAATAATAATCTTGTTAATTTTTTGGCACCTAGAGAATGATATATTGTTGTACAGGTTCTCCAATGCACCTGGTGCTATGATTTATCCAATATATGGCCAAGGGGAACTTTCACAATCCTTTTGCCGGCGTGCTGCTGTGAAAGGGTGTCTAAATGTGAGTGGAGCACAGTTCGCTTTTTTCCGTAAATTTTGCTCATATGAGCTCTTTCTTTGCATGATACTTGTTCCTAAATGACTGGTATCTTTTTGTGTAATATGTGCTGTTATCCTGAGGATATGATTTTGCTGTGCATTTTGTTTCTAGGTTCTTCGGATGCCTGTCAATTTTATTCTCAAGGACAACGTTGGAATGATGCATTTAATAAAATATAAATGTGGATTTCTACACCCGTATATGATCTGCCCTTGCTTTGGGTTCATTGTTTATCTGTTTTAAGCATGTCACTTTGATGTTTTCCAGGGAAGTGGAAATTACAAAGGTGTCAAATTGGCTTCTGGTCAAGAACTATCAAGTCATAATTTGATATTGGCTTCACCATTTGTAATTCCCTTTGATACTGTCGAGTCTCGTAATCAATCTCAGCAAGATGATTCTCTTGGCCTCGATAAAAAAGATGTAGTGAAAGAGAAGCTGGTTAAGGGAATATGCATTGCAAAGTCCTCACTGAAACCAGATGTGGCAAACTGCTTAATATTCTTTGCTCCTCGATGTATGTCTAACCCAATTGTATAAATACAAGGAACTTTTTCATTTTTATTTTACTTTTTAATTCTATATTTTTACGATTTTATGCAGCTTTGATCCCTGAACAGGTGTCATCAATTCATGTCTTCGAGTTAAGCAGCAATGTAGCGGTTTGCCCAAGTGGAATGTGAGTTCTGTTGTTATGCATGCTAATATAAGTGTCATAATGTAATGGGAAATGGTGTTTTAACACCACCTTTGACATCAACATCATGCTTTGTTCGCTACTCACAGATGACACGAGGACTTGCCTGTGCACGCACAAACATGACAGTACTTGTGTCAGTGTGTTAGAACAAAAAGTTATGTCTATGTGTGCCCGTGCGAGCTTGTGTTAGAAGTTGGTGTAAATGTCTTCAGTTGTAGACATTCCTCTAATATAAAACGGATGGTTGCATAATGGCGTTGGTACATAGAAGAAAGAAGTTACTCGGACAGAAAATAAGTGTATATGGATAACTTTTTCTTCAGGTTTGTGACTTACCTTTCAGTTATATGTGAAGATGCTGTGCAAGGGAAGAAACTGCTTGACGCAGCCATTAATGCATTGTTCTATGTTCCTGTTTCTGGCACTTCTCAAAATGATCATACAGACCATCCAAATTCAAATGCCAAACCGGCAATACTTTGAAGCACCTTGTATGTACAGGAGCTGACAAAGGTAAATGTATCACTGCCATACTTCCCTATTCCTTTTGAAGTTTCAGTTGTGACAACCAGTTAGGTCATGTTGTGTACTGCTCTGAGTACATTTTTCTTGTAGGGTAAATATATCTTTCAAAACTCCCCCACCTTAAAAAAATGGCCATGTATTGTGAACTCTTTTTTGTTCTAAAAAATAGCCCTGCTTTAAAAGTAAACTTTCACTTATTAAATTTTAAACATGAAAAACTAATTATCAAGGAATTTTAGTCAATAATTTTAAACAATATCTTTGAGTTACGTCACGTCGTCACCTACGTGTTGTTTAGGACTGTTTAATCAGATTTTGGAACATAATGCTGATCCAAGACGACACTACATTTTTTAATCCAATTGCATATCGAATTCTAGAACAATAGAACACTGATTTTTGGCACCCTAGAGCCATTCTCACTGTCAAAACAAAGTTTTTTTGGGACGGCTGGATTATTCGTCACGGGTTCTTCGCATTTGTGGCACTGAAATCATGCTCTCGGTTGGATATGTCATATGTGTGTGATTCCCCTGGCATTCTTTTATTCTCAAGAATAGCGTGTGATTCGCGTATTTGGATTTGAAAAGTCCAGAAGTCGGGAAATTCCAAGTCTTTCTTATGGGAAAATGCCCTAATTACAAGAAAAAACGTTCTGAAATTCCAAAATAGGACTGCTATTGTTTTCTAACTTTTCTTCTCGAAATAGGAGTCGTTACTGGCCTGATTTAAAAATACCGCCATAAATGGAAGTAAATACAGTTGGAATTTCCAAATATATTTAATCCTGTGTCTTTCAGGAAGAAAGACATAATAGTCCTATTTTGAAATTCCCAAACACTTTAATTAAATTTCTGGAACTTTCGCTTTTCTTGTTCCCAACTCCCAAGTTTTATGAAATTGGTAGCATACCCCACCTACAATGAGATTTGATGGAAGGAATTGGGTAACATTTGGTCATTCCAAATGTGGTTTAATGACTTTTATCTAAAGTAATCTAATTTGCAGTAATAATGCAAACAACATAAGTGGGGTTCTTAATCTGTCTGACATGTTTTTTTTTTCAGGAGGATTCATTTGATTCTGTCGCTTCAGTCTCAATGCCGGACGGGAATCTGCATTACAATGAGGTTTTGGCTGCCTCTGTTAAGGTAATAAAGGATGTGCTTTTCCCATTCTGACACGAGATTTTTTCAGTTCAATTGTACTGCTTAATTAAAAAAAAATGTCACTACCATTAATGAAATCATAATTTTTTTTTTGGTGACAGATATTTGAGAAAATGTACCCTGGTGAAGATTTCGTCCCAAGAGGAGGAGCAGGTGTGAATGACTACTGCACCACATATGATTGAGGGATGTTTGAGGGATGCAGTTGTAATATGATTGAGGAGTTTTTTAGAGTTCTTTACTATCATGCCAGGTGAAAGTGAAGATTTCTCCCAAATATGTTTATACTTGGACTCGTCATGCTGCCTGTTGTAAACATATTATTACTTTCTCCCAGAGAATAGGGCAGTTTAATTTCATCTGGAATACGAATTGATAATTACACCATTTAATTTGACATAAATTAAGTTATATGAGCCGGAGCATAGATTATCTCATTTCTACCTACATAGCAAATGACATTACGAGAGCAAGTTAATAAAGTTGGCAAAGTTAAGCACTCCGTTCTATTCGAACAAGAGTTGTGAATCTTGTGATGGGCAATACTCTAATAACTACTTGTGATTTGTGAATAAATTGACCCTTCAAAACCTTTCAAATGTTCAATTTCTAATTTCTCTAAATTGGAGGATTTTGGAAGAAATAATTAAATGATGCACTAACTTTAACTTAATTCAAAATGAATATAAATTCAATTATTTAATTTTTTCTATCTTTAAAGTGATTTTAATTATAATTCATCAATCCCTCTATTCAAAACATGTAGAATGATTTCTTCCCCTTTCATTCCCTCTGATGATCTCATCCTCTCCTAGAACTAACCTTCAAAGTTCAAAGTCTTCCCCTTTCCTTCCCTCTAAACACCTAAACATACCCTTAATGGATTTATGTTTAATTCATTTCATAGTACTGTTGTTATTATCACTATTATTAACATATAGATATCAAATTTATGAAACAAAACCTTCTCTATTTGACGTATATAGCTAATGGCTAGCAATCCTAGCACGTAACTGCTTTCAAATTTATGAAACCAAACCTTCTCAATTTGATTATATTCGATTACTCGATTATAATATTTCAAGCTCATTTTAACAGCAAATGAAACTCGATCAAAAAAAAATTCAGCTTGTTAGCCACTCAATGTCATGCTAGTGAGTATTGACAAGTAGGGATGGACTCGGGTCCGGGCCGGGTCCGGGTCGGGCCTAGGCCCGGGCAGGCCAGCGGGTCAGAAATGGTGGACCCAGGACCGGCCCGGGTAACCACCGGGTCCGGTCCGGGTCCGGGCCGCGCCGGGCCGGGTCCGGTCCGGGTCCGGGCCGCGCCGGGCCGGGCCCATTATATTTTTTTTGTTTTCCTCTTCCTAATTAACCCCCCTCCCACCCCCAACCCCCCAAAACACCCCAAATGACCCAAAATACCCAGCCCAACCCGAAAATTTAAAAAAAATTGAAAAAAAAATAGTTTTTGGCCCGAACCGGGCCCGGGCGGGTCGGGCCTTGTTTTGGGTGACCCGAGCCCGGACCGGAAAACCCACGGGCCGAGACTACCCAGACCGGTCACTGATCGGGCCACCGGGTCGGGCCGGGCCGGAACAGTACCGGTCCCGGGCCGGTTCCGGGTCGGGCCACCCGGCCCGAGTCCATAACTAGTGACAAGTGAGCGAAGCACACAACAAAAGAACAAAGGAAACAGAAACGTTAATTTATAATACCAGTATGTTATGAATACTCAATACAAAGATACATGGTTCTTGAATAAAGTTATAAATCAAAAAATATATTTGATTTTTCCATAATTTGAAGCTTCTTTTTGACAATATATATACTCCGTAACATGTTAAGTCACAATTACCCGTGAATGTAAGTGAACCAATCTATAAAAGGGTTCAGCTTGTGAAGATGTTAAACTAACCAAACTCAAACTATCTAAAGTTGGGTTTGGTTCAGCTTTGAATCTTAAACTGCCCTATTCTCTGGGAGAAAGTAATAATATGATTACAACAGGCAGCATGACGAGTCCAAGTATAAACATATTTGGGAGAAATCTTCACTTTCACCTGGCATGATAGTAAAGAACTCTAAAAAACTCCTCAATCCTATTACAACTGCATCCCTCAAACATCCTTCAATCATATGTGGTGCAGTAGTCATTCACACCTGTTCCTCCTCTTGGGAGGAAATCTTCACCAGGGTACATTTTCTCAAATATCTGTCACCAAAAAAATTATGATTTCATTACTGGTAGCGACATTTTTTTTAATTAAGCAGTACAATTGAACTGAAAAAAATCTTGTGTCAGAATGGGAAAAGCACATCCTTTATTACCTTAACAGAGGCAGCCAAAACCTCATTGTAATGCAGATTCCCGTCCGGCATTGAGACTGAAGCGACAGAATCAAATGAATCCTCCTGAAAAAAAACAAACATGTCAGACAGATTAAGAACCCCACTTATGTTGACATAAGAAGTGTATATTGCGTGATAGAATCACTGGCCTCGTTTGGATTGCATTATTACTGCAAATTAGATTACTTTAGATAAAAGTCATTAAACCACATTTGGAATGACCAAATGTTACCCAATTCCTTCCATCAAATCTCATTGTATATGGGGTATGCTACCAATTTCATAAAACTTGGGAGTTGGGAACAAGAAAAGCGAAAGTTCCAGAAATTTAATGAAAGTGTTTGGGAATTTCAAAATAGGACTATTATGTCTTTCTTCCTAAAAGACACAGGATTAAATATATTTGGAAATTCCAGCTGTATTTACTGCCATTTATGGCGGTATTTTTAAATCAGGTCAATAACGACTCCTATTTCGAGAAGAAAAGTTAGAAAACAATAGCAGTCCTATTTTGGAATTTCAGAACGTTTTTTCTTGTTTATAGGGCATTTTCCCATAAGAAAGACTTGGAATTTCCCGACTTCTGGACTTTTCAAATCCAAATACGCGAATCACACGCTATTCTTGAGAATAAAAGAATGCCAGGGGAATCACACACATATGACATATCCAACCGAGAGCATGATATCAGTGCCACAAATGCGAAGAACCCGTGACGAATAATCCAGCCGTCCCAAAAAAAATTTGTTTTGACAGTGAGAATGGCTCTAGGGTGCCGAAAATCAGTGTTCTATTGTTCTAGAATTCGATATGCAATTGGATTAAAAAATGTAGTGTCGTCTTGGATCAGCATTATGTTCCAAAATCTGATTAAACAGTCCTAAACAACACGTAGGTGACGACGTGACGTGACGTAACTCAAAGATATTGTTTAAAATTATTGACTACAATTCCTTGATAATTAGTTTTTCATGTTTAAAATTTAATAAGTGAAAGTTTACTTTTAAAACAGGGCTATTTTTTAGAACAAAAAAGAGTTCACAATACATGACCATTTTTTTATGGTGGGGGAGTTTTGAAAGATATATTTACCCTACAAGAAAAATGAACTCAGAGCAGTACACAACATGACCTAACTGGTTGTCACAACTGAAACTTCAAAAGGAATATGGAAGTATGGCAGTGATACATTTACCTTTGTCAGCTCTTGTACATACAAGGTGCTCCAAAGTATTGCCGGTTTGGCATTTGAATTTGGATGGTCTGTATGATCATTTTGAGAAGTGCCAGAAACAGGAACATAGAACAATGCATTAATGGCTGCGTCAAGCAGGTTCTTCCCTTGCACAGCATCTTCACATATAACTGAAAGGTAAGTCACAAACCTGAAGAAAAAGTTATCCATATACACTTATTTTCTGTCCAAGTAACTTCTTTCTTCTATGTACCAACGCCATTATGCAATCATCCGTTTTATATTAGAGGAACGTCTACAACTGAAGACATTTACACCAACTTCTAACACAAGCTCGCACGGGCACACATAGACATAACTTTTTGTTCTAACACACTGACACAAGTACTGTCATGTTTGTGCGTGCACAGGCAAGTCCTCGTGTCATCTGTGAGTAGCGAACAAAGCATGATGTTGATGTCAAAGGTGGTGTTAAAAGTTAAAACACCATTTCCCATTACATTATGACACTTTATATTAGCATGCATAACAACAGAACTCACATTCCACTTGGGCAAACCGCTACATTGCTGCTTAACTGGAAGACATGAATTGATGACACCTGTTCAGGGATCAAAGCTGCATAAAATCGTAAAAATAAAGAATTAAAAAGTAAAATAAAAATGAAAACGTTCCTTTTATTTATACAATTGGGTTAGACATACATCGAGGAGGAAAGAATATTAAGCAGTTTGCCACATCTGGTTTCAGTGAGGACTTTGCGATGCATATTCCCTTAACCAGCTTCTCTTTGACTACATCTTTTTTATTGAGACCAAGAGAATCATCTTGCAGAGATTGATTACGAGACTCGACAGTATCAAAGGGAATTACAAATGGTGAAGCCAATATCAAATTATGACTTAATAGTTCTTGACCAGAAGCCAATTTGACACCTTTGTAATTTCCACTTCCCTGGAAAACATCAAAGTGACATGCATAAAACAGATAAACAATGAACCCAAAGCAAGGGCAGATCATATACGGGTGTAGAAATCATCATTCCAACCTTGTCCTTGAGAATAAAATTGACAGGCATCCGAAGAACCTAGAAACAAAATGCACAGCAAAATCATATCCTCAGGATAACAGCACATATTACACAAAAAGATATCATTGTCATTTAGGAACAAGTATCATGCAAAGAAAGAGCTCATATGAGCAAAATTTACGGAAAAAAGCGAATTGTGCTCCACACACATTTATACACCCTTTCACAGCAGCACGCCGGCAAAAGGATTGTGAAAGTTCCCCTTGGCCATACATTGGATAAATCATAGCACCAGGTGCATGGGAGAACCTGTACAACAATATATCATTCTCTAGGTGCCATAAAATTAACAAGATAATTATTTTCATGCAAATCTGCCCAAAAAAAAACTACCTGCATGGTAAACTATCATGTTGCAATAAATGACTCACTGAATTCCTATAAGAGCCAAGTTCATACAAAAACAATACACTAGAATGCTCATAACCTCCAATTTAACAAAAAGCATCTTAAGTATTACTCGTATTTATTCTTCTGAAACTCTCATTACTTTACTATCTGCGTGTCATAAAAAAGAGTGGTGATTATTCGTGCCAACATATTTTTGGTCATTATAAATTTCAGATTACCTAAAAAGTGAAAACCAGACTAAGATAAAGGCTGCTACAAGTCTACAACCAGAAATGTTTAATTTTCAAATTTACTTCATCAAAACTGCATATGCATATCACTAATAATAAAATACATGTTTTAACTTTAAACACGGAATTTATGAAATAATCAATGGGCAAAGGTGAGAAATCACTCAATAACCTGCCCACTGAAGAGTGATAAAGAGCTAAACGATCTATCCCATCCCTGGTCTTGATAACTTTATAACCCTCCACACTTTCCTGATCATCAGCTGCTAAGGCTATAGCATAAAGTATAATCCTATAGAAAAAACATTAAATGAGCCAGATTTACTGTAACAAAAACTTTACAAAGAATATCTGCCAAAAAATGGGAAAAAAACTGTGGCTGTCACAAAATAATTGATAAAATACTGTTGAGATTTCATATATACTTCGATCATGCTGGAATAAAAAGCAGGCTAAAAAGCATGTAAAAAATTGTTGCAACCGCTTTGGAAAAAGCAGACTAAAAAACATGCAAAATATTGTTGCAATCGCATTGGGAAAAAGCAGGAAAAAAATTATTCTTCAGAAAAGCAATGTAGAAAAGTTACAATTGCATTGGAAGAAAGAAACTGATATCAGTTATCGTGTAGCTGGAAAAAAAAACTTCCCTTCACTTTGCCTCTTTTTTCCTTTAAACCGGAGGACAAGTGAAAGAAAAAATTATTACTCAATAGGAGAAGCACACCAAGGTGATGTGAATTCAATGACTGATGTGAAATAATGCAGATCAGTCTACGAGGCAGTGTGCAGAGTTCAGAAGACACTCTAGGCTTGTACTAAGCAACACCTAAAAAGTAAATTGATTTTCATGTCCAATAAGAGCCCGTTTGGTGACCCTATTTATCATCTTATCGGCCTCATCGCCCAACTTTTTAACCAAACATGTAATTTTTTATTTCATGCGCTGAATTGTGTAATAATCAAAATAAGTAAGGTTGGAGTTGCTTTTCTGACTGAATTGGCTGAAGTTACTGTAAATGACGACTTTAGCTATTTTTCATATAATTTTTCTTTATTTTATTACTAAAATATATTAAAAATATTATTTTTTTCATAAATCAGCCAATTCAACCACTTCATCCAGAACTTCACAGGAATCAGCCGATTCTGCCAATTTCAATTTTACTAAACGGGCTCTGAATGGATTCATCAAAAAAGCACATGTAAACATAAACATTGATGGAATCCCTCCACGTGAGTATCCTAGTAGGCTAATATTGAGTTTCAAATTAGACACTCTAGCCTGTATTATATAATGATGATTCAAAATGTAAAAGGTTTTTCATGTCCGTTAATAGATAGATTCACCAAAAAACAACACGTGTAAACATAAAAAAATAGTGGAACCTCCCCGTGTAAGCATCCTAATAGGCTAATATTGAGTATCAAATTAAACAGTTGATCAAAGAATTCAGTCTTGTGTTAGTGATGCTATATGCTTATTTAGCTGAGGTAGAGCTTCTTCCCAATGAGGTTTGTTAGCCTCCTATCTAGATTTTAATTTTATTATTGAAAATATATCTCTGTGATTTCAGTGTATCTAGCTAATGCTTCTTGAATTAAACCGAATGGGCTGTGGCGCAGCAGAAAAGTAATCAATCCGTAAAAGAATTTTAAATTCACAAAGAACTGATGTTAATGTGGAAATCAAAAGGTAATTTCAGTAATAAATAATGAAATCTAGAAAAAAGGAAAATTCGATGCATACGATTTTAGCTTGGACGAAAGCCCCATTTTGCTCAGGAACTCACAAAACGGACTCTCCAGATCATCCTGAGATATCCGGTTGATTTCCGTGTAATCTTCCCCCAAATGCCCCTGTACCATCTTGAAGAACCTCATCAACTGATTCTTCTCAGTGAAACTTAAATTGCGGTCCTTGAAAATTGCACTGCGCGAATCAGGCACATAATCCAAGTTACCATTTCCATCATAGATGAAGCTCCTGTCCACCGATTTGAACTCCATATACAGATTGATACCCGTATTTAAAATGAGGTCAACCATAGAATCAGCGCAAAATAAAACCCTAGGTCCGGCCAAATCAATGTTGAACTTGCTGGAGTAGTTCATAGGCTCCTGCGAGTACAGAGAGACATCAATGGAGGAGTACATCTGGCGAGTACGAAGCGGCATGAGATGGAAATCCGATTCATGGTGGTATTGTGAAGCAGGATGAGGGGTGGAGGAAGAGTTAGAATGGGATTGAAGGAATGAAGTGAAGTCATGTAGGGGGAGAGAAGCGTAATGAGAACCATAGAATGGATTGGGGTCAAGATGGATGACAGATTTTCCGGCGGCAGAGGCCGCGGCGGCAATGATGGATTCCGATACACCGGTACCTATAACGATTAGATCAAAGCTGGAAGGTTCTATAGGCGGATAGGATGCGGAGTCATCCATCCCTCAAAAAGTTGCATCTTGTATAGCAAAGATCTTTTTATATCGACCCATCTCCGCGTGACTCATTAATGGCTTGTAGTGTATCAACTTCTCAAATCTGTACCTAAATCATCAAAATTCTTAGATTAGAAAATAAAACAAGAGTTGGACTTGGGGTACACACTTTTTTGTGTACACACTTTTTAAAATACGTTATGTCTGTACAGACATAAAAAAAACCTTACACAGACATGTGTAAAAAATGTGTACACAAAAAAGTGTGTACCTTTAGAATTTTCCATAAAACAAAGACACATAATGACATAGAATAATGTGCATGACTCACACATTAAAATTCATGTAACAATTTACCTACTTCGGAACTCCTCAATTTTAGAGATAAGTTCATCCAACAACTTTGTAACAGAGAAGTGCTTGGATGTTACTAATTGTTTATTCTAGTTGAGATATGATTGGATGACTTAAGCTGTACAAATCATTCGTACATATCCAGTGGGCGTTTGTCCTTACTCAACTGCAGCCAGTTTAATGAAACATGCCTATGCCTGATGTTTTGTACTCATACTCAGGGGCGGATCTAGCTTTGGCCTCCAGGTGGGGCCAAAATTTAATTAAAAATGAAAATTAAAAAATTATACTAATAACTTAATAACTAGATTAATAAGAACAAGTCACAAGCAAATTTATACTATAAATGATGATTACAATTTACAAGTTTACAAATAATAATCAAATTCATATCAAGCAAACATGTAGTTTAGTCTTTAACTTGAATTAAAAACACAATAAAATTAAAAGATTAAAAAAAATACCTCTTAAGCACTTAGGAGTTAGGACTTAGGCAGCACTTCTCACTTCTCAGGAATCAGGCACATCATCTGAACTCTTAAGCACTGGCTCACTGCACAACAAGTATCAATACTAATTCAATCAATAAATACAAATACTAATCTTGAACAAATTTGATAAAATTCAATAAATTAAATAAAATGTAAAAATAAAAGGTTGGAAAATGGAAATTAGACCTCTATTGAGCCGTTTGAGCGGATTTGAGCCAATATGAGCCGAAAAAGAGTCAAAGAGGGGCGGCGTTCGGCACTTCGGCGGACTTCGGCCGCTGCACTTCGGCGGAGTTCGGCCGCTGAGGTCCTGCGTGCGGCGTGATTGCGTGGCTGCGGCCTGCGTGCTGGCTTGGGGGATGGACGGACGGACTGTCGCCTTGCTGGCTTGCTGCGGCAGTGCGGGCTATGCGGCCTGCGTGCTGGAAGCTTGGAATGCCTGGAAGCCCTGTTTATGCGGTTGGGGTTTTCGTGGAAGAAGAAAGAACGCGGCACTTTTCCCTGCGCTGCTGGCTAGTGGCTACTTGGACTTAACAGTTGGACTGGGCCTAATTCATTAAAAATTCAGACTGGGCCTAAATTTTAAACCTATATACTAGTTAAAAAAATGCAGCATGGGCCTAGGCCCTCCCTGGCATAGGCCCAATCCGCCCCTGCAGTCATACTATTTAAGTATCTATCCTTAAATATGACTCTTTGGAGTCGAACAGTTTCATTTTATTAACTTAATTAGGATACAATTTAATTTGTATTTTGCAATTTTATAGAGATTTTAATGAAGTTTCTAAATATGTAAATTTTAATTATTAAAATTGAATTAATAGCTTCAGTGTTCCAGAAGCATTTGGAGCTATCATGGGCACATTAAGGGATATTTACCAAAAAAATATGAGGAGTCAACATGGGCAAACTTCATTGTGGCCACAATCCCACATTACCAAATGTGCAGATCAAGGCATGTGTGAGTTTGGGTCATTTCACATCTGGTATGAATGCAAATTAAAGTGGTCTACATGGTCTCCTTAGAATGGTCAAACACTTGCCCCTTTTCCACACTTTTATAACTCTAATCCCCCACCACTTTATCAAATATCAGTTTATATTTTTTCAAAAAGTCACTGTCATGTGTGCAAAGCTTAAAAACTAATAAGGATTGTGATTTTGTGACAGGAGTCGAGGGGTGATGCAATGGTAATTTTGCCACTGTTTTTGCATTTAGTATTACTTCTGAAAGCTCTTATCAAAAATAATTTGGAAAAGGAGAAAGTGAAGGATACCGCGCTTCCTGTTTCCCCCTCCATTTTTCCAAGGGAAAGATGAAGGATATTTACACAAGTGTTTACTTGTTTTAACCTTTAGAACAAAAACGAAGACAAAAAATGTAAACATTGAATTAGATGCAGGATTGCCCCGCTAAAACTACACTTTTCATATTTTAATAGTATGCTGCGATCACTTTTGAAAGAGCAAGGGAACTTTTTTAACATGTTAGTTTAGTTTTCATATACGCTATAAATATTCTGTTAAATTAAAAAACAAAAGCTGAAAGTGAAAGTTTCCAAAATAGGACTAAAACAGTTTGAAAATTCCAAAATATGACTGTCATGTTTTTATTCCCAAAATAGGAGTAATTATTGCCAAGTTGGGAAAATATAGCCATGTTTGAAGTCTGGTACTGCCAAAACATGACAGTAATTAGTCTTATTTTGGGAATAAAAATATGACAGTCCTATTTTGGAATTTTCAAACTTTTTCAGTCCTATTTCGAGTAATATTATCAAGCTAAAATAGTATACTCCCTCCGTCCCCCTATAATTGTCTCATCTTTTTATTTTTGGATGTCCCCCTATTATTGCCTCATACCATATTTGATAACATTTGTGTGGCTCTAATTCATTCTTACTTTATTCCCACTTTATCAACTCACTATCAACCACATCATTCTACTTTTCTTAAAAACCACACCACTCCCATCCGTCTCAATATTAGGGATTCTACTTTTCTTAAAAACCACATCACTCCCATCTGTCCCAATATTAGGGAGACGGAGGTACTGAGGTAGTATTAGGGTTGGACTCGGGCCGGGTCGGGCCCGGGCCTAGGCCCGGTCGGGCCGGCGGTTCTATATAGCTGGACCCGGGACCGGCCCGGGTAGCCACCGGGCCGGGCCTCGGGTTTGGTTAATTTTTTTTTTTTTTTGCTTAGCTACCCATCCCTGACCCCCCGCCCTCACCCCCCACCCCCCAAACCCCTCCTAAACATCAAGCCCAACCCGGTGGAGCCCAAACAAATGAAAAAAACCAAAAAAAAAATAAATTTGGCCCGAACCGGGCCCGGCCGGGCCGGGCCTTGTTATGGGTGACCCGAGCCCGGACCGGAAACCCACCGGGTCGGGCCTACCCGGACCGGTCACTGACCGGGCCACCGGTTCGGGCCGGGCCGGAACAGTACCGGTCCCGGGCCGGTTCCGGGTCGGGCCACCCGGCCCGAGTCCAACCTTAGGTAGTATTAGTTTCGTAAAACTGAGAAGTAAATAGAAGAGTCAACTCGAGCATACTGCATATGATCCCCTAAATTATCAGTAGAGAAACTGGTTTTAAAAAAAAAAAATCAATGCTGAAGTACCAAAAATTAGGTAGAAATTATATATTTCATCCAAATTGGTAAAGAATCCAATTTCTTTATCGAGACTGAATTTTTAGAGCGCAACCACAACCAACTAATCCTTCTACTAATGTAATAGCTTAAATACATATGCACTCTAGATATTTGAGTATTCATAATAAGTGGTTTAGCAACCGTAAATGGTGCTAACAAATTAGGAAGTATTCAAAATGTGACTCTTCTTAAATAAAAATTCAAAAGCTAAATTCTACATGTTTGAAAAAAAAAATTGAAATCAAAAGAAAGGCCAAGAACACATTAAAAATGTTTAAAATAAAAGAAACTTGTTGAATGTATTTTTTTATAGCTGACTATAAATCTTTGACTATATTTTCTTAACTATATGAAAAACATGAACAATATGGAATCGAGAAAAGAAAAGATTAATGAATAAAAGATGAAAGCTTACCCCTAACGCCTCTAGTGCATAAAAATCTCTTTTGTGTTGTAAAATATGTAAGTGTATCCCTAAACGCCACTGGTGCATAAAAAACTATTTTGTGTTTAGCATCGCAAATCTCCACTAAATTAAAGAAATAAATTGAAATTTATTTAAAAACAAAAAAAAACAAATAGAAATAGGCAGATATGAAATGGAAATAAAATATGAATTAATACCCCAAGTTTTTGTGTTTAGCATTGCATATCTCCAGTTCTCCACTAAATTAAAGCAACACAAAATAAAAATAGGAAGATATGAAATGGAAATGAACTAAAATCCCAGGGCCGGTCCTGTGTTTTTGAAAGCTAGGGCGGATAATATTATATGGGCCTAAGTCTTTACTTTATTATAAATGTCCTGAAATTATTATGCATGTTAGAAAAGAGTTTTTCCATTGAACAGTTTCTACTTAGGGCCATACATCTTTACTTAGAACCGCTTTATCTAATCTTCTTCTTTCTTTTTCTCTCCCATCCAGATTCTACCATTTTTATTGCACCTTGAAATTGAATAAATTTATAAGTTGAATCGTAATTGAAAATCTTTACCTAAAATGCCAAATTATAACACTCAATACATAAAAATCAACAACTGAGAATATGAACTAAAGATTTATTATCACTCAACAGCCAACAAATCAACTAAGTATTTATCCATTATCCATTTAAAAACACGAAACAACTATGAAAGAAATCAATTAATAAAGAAAAAATTCCACTAATCATATTAATTATTGATCAATAAAAAAATTAAAACTTTAAAAGCGGAAGGAGGTGTCGGAGGAGTACCTGAAGGCAGAAGGCTGAAGTGGTGATTCGGGTGAAAACGTTAAATCAGTGAAGCATGAAGCAGTGAGGCAGTGAAGCCTGAAGGTGAGCACGGCGCACGCGCTCCAGAATGCGGAAGACAGAGGAGGTGAGCACTTCTGCCTGTTGGAAACTTGGACGCCTGGACTGAGAAGCCGAGATCAGGCAGGGAGTGCGCCTGCTCCTTTTTTCGTTCGACTGAAGAGTGAAGACCGAAGATCGAAGTAGGGATGGATACAACATAAGAAATGAGAACACATGTTCAAAGGAAAACTCAGAGTCGACTGTGGGAAACAATAATAATTGATGAAAAAGAGAATGAAGAGATGCAGCAAACCCTAACAAATCCGCCGCCGCCTTAGGTGATTTCAGCCGATTTGAGCTAGGAGAAGCTGCAGAGAGGAGGATAGAAGACAAAATAGGACTAAAATAATTTCAAAATTACAAAATAAGAGTTCTCTAAATAGGAGCTCTAAATAGGAGCTCTAAGTTGATAGGTCCATTTTATTTGTCAATTATATCCCTCGTGGTCAATTATACTCTACTCCTTATTTCTCACGCAACTCTCCACTTCCTCTCTCTTATCACCGATTCATCTCCCTCCTCCTCTCTTTAATTTCATCTAGATCTGTTTCTTATCCCACTTTTCCATCATCAACATATCACAAAGTTTCTATCTATTACAAAATTTTCTTCTATAGTTGATGAGTATTATTTTACTCACTTAATGATTATTTGACTTTCATGATTTTCACTACACATTTCCATACCGTGGCTCTCTCATTCCCCACCCTATCACCTTTCATAATACTCGCATACGAGTTCAAAGCCCAAATATTACTAAACATTGCTATAATTTTCTTTATCTAATTGTTAAGAATCTTGTGGAGCTATACTGGATGATTAGATTAATCTGAATTGGGTTGCTCTAATTTATATCAAGTTTTAAATTTGAACTAAGAAATTTCTAAAACAGTAACTCCAAGGATACATAACTCTTAGTATCAGAAGTATCATTTTTATTATGTTACTTGATACATTAATATTTTTAAATTTGGATGTTGAATGTTGGTGGGTTGTGATTATTGAATGTTTGGAAATGAAATCTATATATTATTAAAAACGGAATAGTGCAGCAAGAGTTTTGAGCGGGAACTGCAGTACACGTTTGATAGTTATTGTTATAATGGCTTCTAGATTATTCCTATTAATTGTGTGGATTAATAATGCTGATATGATTTCTAACTTTCCTATGCAAAATTAAATATTAAGGAGAGGAGGTTGTTCGGTTTTTTATGCTCCAACTTCTCGATGATGCTGCAAACGAATTGCAACATTAATAAAATATAAGTGGAATCTTCTAGATTACTCTTATTATATGAGACATTAAATATGTTGGCATTAATTGTGTTAGCTTGGTTGTCTATCTTCCCTAAATTGTGATTTACGGACTGTTCAAATACCACTTTAAATAATTCGGCTCACTAAACAATGGCTAGACAACATTTCCAATTGAAATACATTCAATTACAAAAACTGGAATTCTTTATACTACTATTGGGCGGCAAGCCGGGAACTGAAATTAATGCCTTCACAATCTACTAAGCGACTGTTGTATTCTGATGGGATCACCTGTTGTTGTGCATATAAAAAGGGGTTCCTTACAAAGCAAATTCATCACAAACTATTCATCCACCAAGAAATTCCTTAGTAGGAGAACACCTGCAAAAAGAGTACTGAGTACATTAATGCAAGGGGATCTGGTAATAACACTTTTAGTCATGTATAAAATGAGCTCAATTCCTTTTTTTCTTCTGTAATGCTTGCAAATATAAAATGAGCTCAATTCCTTCTTTTCTCCTGTAATGCTTGCAAATAAAGTAGGCATCCTTGAGTTTCTTCGAGAATGTATGAAAACATCTCTCACTCTTCATTTGTTTGTACAAGCTAGAGATATTTGGTAAAAATATTGTCTGTAGTGCTAGCAAATACAATGAGTCCGTTTGGTAACACTACAATTGACTGAATTGGCTGATTCTGTTGAAATTTATGAAGTTCTGGTTGAAGTGGATGTATTGGCGGATTCAGCTGATTAATGAAAAAATTACAAGTAAAATATTCGTTAATAATAAATTAAATAAAAAATTATATGAAAAATAGCTAAAATGATCCTCTACCGTAACTTCAGCCAATACAACCATAAAAGTAACTTCAACCTTACTTTTTCTGCTTAATACAAATTTCAGCGCGCGAGTTCAAAAGTTACGTGTTTGGTTAAAAAACTGGTTGGTAAGCCTGATAAGCCGAAAAAGGGGGTCACCAAACGGGCTCAATATGTATCCTTGAGTTTCTTCGAGAATGTTGAAAACCTTTATCACCTATTTATACTTATGTTCAAGCTAGGGTTCACCGATTAAGGTAAAATATGATTAATACTTTTTTAGGTGAAGAATTACTTTTATAGTTTCATATATTTTGTTCTCATCAAACAATCTCTTAATATCGATTGCTTTGTTATCACCTAACACTATTTTTAGTTAAAATCTTATTCTTTTCCTTGGTGTTTTCTCTTCAAACACAGAAGAAACTAAGTTAAATAACTAAGAATTGATCACCATTTTAGGATACTCAATTAGAAAAATAAAATCATATTTTAATAAAACTTTCCCTCATCCTCATTCTAAACGAGTACAATTCGAGCATAAAAACCAACAGTTAATGAGGCGATTTGGGGGGGGATTATTTGACGGGGCGGACGGGTACCAATAATGGTATACCCGACCCCGAACCATCTGAATGTCAATTTTTCATCCCTTCGTACGTAACACTCACCTTTCGCTTTTCGCTAGTCTTGAGCCGTTAGGCGATTGGGCTAGACTAAAACACAAGCTTAAGGCTGCAAAATCAGACTTCTCACAATCATTAGAATGAAAAAAATCATGGTCTGATCTGATTTGAACTGATCTTGAATTTCAAATCAATTCAGATCAGATGAGATCGGACTCCACTATTTTTTTTCATTATAATAAGGAATAATTGTGAGAAGGCTAGTCTTGGAAGAAGCATCCACCTTGCTACGTCCTTCCTTCCTTCAATGCAAATCATACCCTGGTTTTTTTTGAAAGACCAACCCAAAAGTTACATAACAATACAAACTATTTACCCCGTATACAAGGGCGGACCATAGTACAGACCTAGGGGGTTATCGCCCTCCAACCAAAATTTTTTTTAGTGTATATATATATATATATGAAAAAATATTTTGAACGCTCAAAAAATATTTTAGCTCCTCCAAGATGATTTTATTGGGTCCGGCCCTTCATGTATAACAACTCTTCCTTCAACTATCTTACGCCCACCAGTCCATGCTAGTATGCAACTCTGTAATAATCTCTAATAATCAGACTAAAGAAGATGTAAACATTAACTTATCATCCTTACTAGCCACTAGGGAGCACTTCATCATCAGCCAAAAGTGTCAAAATTACTGTTTCTGATCAATTGCAGATTCCTCTGTCTAATTCTTAACAATCAGTTTCACTTTCTTCATTATCATACTACGCAGTTCAATACCCCGAGCTTCATATCAGTCCACGGCAACCAACAAAATGGTTTCTTTTCTCACTTTCTTCATCGCAGGGTTCTTAGTTTCGTCATTTCACCTCTCCCATGCTCGCATTTTCACCTTTGAACTCCACCACCGGTTCTCCGATCCCGTCAAGAAATTGGCACTCCAGCGAACCGCCGCATCTTTCCCGGCCGACAGTTGGCCGGCCAAGGGCAGTCTTGATTATTACACCCAACTGGCGACCCACGACCGGTTCTTCCATCGCCGGAGACTGTTCGACTCCGACAGTACCAGCTCCAGCCCGCTTACTTTCGCCGACGGGAATGCCACCTACCGTATCAGCTCTTTGGGATTGTAAGATCCCCCATTCTTGAAAACTTTTTTTTTGAGTCTTGAAAACGTCTTTTTTAAGTGTGAACTTGTTTTTATTTTCAAATTACTTTATTAAATTTCCCAATCTGGGAAAAATATGCAGTTTGCATTACACGACGGTCACTCTTGGAACGCCCGGGATGAAGTTTCTGGTAGCCCTAGATACTGGGAGTGATCTATTTTGGGTACCCTGTGATTGTTCCAATTGCACTTCTACTGATGATTCCACTCTCTATGATTCTGTATGTAAATTAATTCCCCTCTAAAAAAATCTCCTTCATTTCTTTTGATTAAGAAAAAGTTATGGAATTTATTTCTTTAATGATGCATGCAGGATTTTGCTCTTAGCATTTACAACTTCAATGGATCATCAACGGGAAAGAAGATCACCTGCACCAACACCTTCTGCTCTCATCGTAGCAACTGCCTTGACGCATTTAGCCGTTGCCCTTATTCTGTTTCGTATCTCTCGTCGGAGACTTCAACTTCTGGAATCTTGGTTGAAGATGTTCTGCAACTGGAAACAGATGACACTGATGAAAAGTTTGTTGATGCTTATGTTATCTTCGGGTCAGTTTTAGCAAGTTTCTTAAAGGCTCTCTTTGGAACTCAAAGTGCTAGGGAAAGAAAATATAGGAAATATTTGGATGGAAAGCTCATACTCCTTATTCTTTTATAATGTGTTTAAACTCAGATTTTTCTGTTGTATATGGAGTAATTAAATACTAGGAAATCTGAACTCATGTAACAAAATTTATTTTATTTCCCAATGAATTGCCTACCAACTTTCTGGGATCCCAACACGGCCTTAAGTGTGCAGGTGTGGTCAAGTGCAAACAGGTTCATTCCTAGATGTTGCAGCACCAAATGGGTTATTTGGGCTTGGTTTTGAGAAAATATCGGTCCCAAGCGTTCTATCTCAACAAGCGTACATACCGAATTCTTTCTCGATGTGTTTTGGGCGTGATGGAGTGGGAAGGATTAACTTTGGAGATAAGGGTAGTGTTGACCAGGAAGAGACCCCGTTCCATTTGAATCCGTTGCAGTAAGTGGTAATCATGTGCCTGATTATTTACTTAATCACCCTTCTTGTCAAGCAAGGCTTTTTTTTCATTTACTCATTGTATGATGAAACCAGCCCGAGGTACAACATCACCATTGCACAGGTTCAGGTTGGCACTGATATTATTGATTATGAGTTCGCTTCACTTTTTGATACTGGAACTTCCTTCACCTATCTGGATGATCCGCCTTACACAAAGCTCTCACAAAGTGTAATGATTCATATTCTCAATTATTATAGTTTTTATTTACTAATTCTGGTTTGTTTTGTTGAATATAATTTGCTGTTTTTTATTTATTTTATTTTTGTTGGTATTGGTTCAGTTTGACTCACAAACACAGGATAGACGATTTGAGTTTGATCAAAGAATCCCTTTTGAGTATTGTTACGAAATGAGGTTAGAATGTGGGATTTTTTGTTGTTCACTTCTTCTTTTGTAAGGATAATACATATTTTTCAGTTTGTTAGCAACTGATATTGACAGATCTAATTCAAGTACTAGTTTGGTTCCTACTATGAGCCTGACAATGGAAGGAGGAGGCCGCCTTGTAGTCTTTGATCCTGTGATAGTCATCCCCCTTGAGGTATATAAAAGTGTAAGGCCTGTTTGGATTGAGGGTGTTGGAGGGGAACAACTTGTATGGCTGTCTGTCCGTATATACATTGGCATGTATTTACTATTTAAGATGTTATATTAAATGAAAGGTTACATGATATGTGGACGTATAACATTTACATATTTTTATTTGGTTTTAGAAAAACTGTGCTCTGTGTTAATCATAATATACACTATACGCTAAGCACTGGAAAATTTTACCTTCCATCCAAACAGACCCTTAGTGCATCACCCCTTCCCCCAAGAGTCTGATGGCTCCCCTCTGGCCCTCTTATGATTTCTTTACTGCACAACAATTTGCAGAGTCAACTTGTGTATTGCCTTGCTGTTCTGAAGAGCCAAGATTATAATATAATTGGGCGTAAGTTTCTGTTTAAGCAGTTTTTGTCATGTTAAAAGTTAAAAACGCCTTTGGTTCATTTGAAATAACTTCTTTGGGTGATTGCAGAGAACTTTATGACAGGATACCGGTTTGTGTTTGATCGAGAAAAGGTCAGTCTTGGGTGGAAGAAGTTTGACTGTAAGTTTCTTATCCACTTTTATAGTAAAAATTTTTCGTTTTGAAAATAAATAAATTTAATCAAACAATTTTTGTATGTCTTTTTATATATTTGATTTTATAGGTTATGACATTGAGACGCCAAACATGCCATCAAATACAACCAGTGTGGCTCCTGCTGTGGCTGCTGGTGATAAAGAATCAGATGGGAGGGCAGACATTACACATAAATCATTTGCATTCCCTGTTAGTGATAGGCTCACCACATTTGCTCTGGTTCACATTTGCCTAGTGTTTCTTGGCCTCCTTGTATAGACATGATGATCCTATCCATCTGTTGAACAGAATGCTAGTGATTGGTTTGGGTGGTATAGATTTTTGTTTTGTGCAGTTTTTGTAGGCCATTCGGGCCCTGGACATATATTTGTAGATGTAATGTAAATGCATGTTTTAGGATATATATTCATGTTGTAAGAGGCTAAGTTTTTGTTTCCTTTTCTATAGTTAGGTTGAGTACTTCACTTTTGAGTCAACTAGAGCCTGTTTGGCATGGGGGAATTTGGTTGAAATAGCTGGCATTTGCTAAGTTGCTGAATTGTGGAAAATATATGTTTATAAGAAATAAGGGTCAAATGACCATTTTCAAGCACTGCAGCCAAACTAATAACTAAAAGTCCTACATTTTCCCATGAACATCCAATTCAATATTTCAATGTGTACAATCAAATAAATGAACTATAGTCCATCTGGCTGGTAAGGAATTTGAGTTTGGCCTGTTTACGGCATGATTGAAACTATAGTCATTTACTGAGTTTTTTAGGTTGACCTTCTTGATATTTAAGAGTTTTTTAAGTTGACCTTGATTTAAGTTGATCATATCAAACCAGAATATGATCAAACATGCTAGAAATAATTGAATGATAGATTATAATGGAAAAAAGCTTTTTCAGAACTTCAGCTGTTTTAGAGAAGTTGAAATTTTGTATCTAATGATTATTTTTTAAAAACTCATTTTGTCATTGAACTGCTTCCAAACAAAATTAATTATTTTCAAACAACATTTCAGCAAAGTTTCCTCAAACAAAAACTGATTTTGATCATAATCCATTATTGAGTATTCCATTCTAAAATTACATAAAAAACCAGCTATGCCAAACACACTTTTAATGATTATAAAATACTCTGAAAATAATTACTACATGTGATAACTATAATGACGTAATAATTGGAAGATCACGAGATTCTGAAGATCATGAACGTCATATTACTTCATACTACGTAATATGAAGCTATTTGACTTGCGATCAAAGAAAAAGGGTGAGTTGGTCATATTCTACAGTATTGTTTACTGTCCATCCAAAGCAATCTCAACTAACTGGATATCACCACTCAAACCAGATGCTTTCTGGGCTGGCATGAATGAGAATCCATCAAGAAGCTTCACACACTTCAACCCCCACTTCACCATCAAAAATTCAATCAGATGATGCCCGCTGTTCACATTTCTTTAGACAGTGTCAATGGTAAAAACATATTGTAGATTTAAAAAATGAAAGCAAAAAAACCTCAAAGAGAGAATATGAGAATTACCTTCTACTGTGATAAGTAGTCATAAAAACAGACGATGGCGAATTCTCAAGCAAAAATGTCACGCTAGCAAAAAGATCATCGAAAGCTTGACGTCCATACATATCAAAGTTTCAAACTTCAGTTGCCTTATCAAAAAGAGTAGGAAAGAGAAAAGTAGACAACATAAAGGATAGAGTATATTTAAGGTAAACTATACCATTTGCATCATAAAGAACATCAGCTCCAAGGATAATGTTTGGGTGTAGATCAAAGACATTTGAGTCCCACTGTCCCCATGTAAGACCCATTATCTAGGACACACACCATGTAAATAAGGCTCAATAGTCAAGTTGATGGCTTGATGCCCTTTTATTAAGCATATACTTAATAAACAAAGCACCAGGTAATAATTTACCTTACACTTCACATTGTTCAAGTCACACTGCCTTCTCATGTTAGCCAAGACCTGCAGATCTATAACCCATTAAATTTCACTCTACAAAACGATTATGTTCTATGGTACCTCTCTGAGGATTCAAAGAATCAAACAAACCTGCTACAATATGTAACTTCAAATTAAACCTATAATAATATATCAAAAGTTTATCAATCTTCAACTGCAGCACAAATTTCGAGCTAAGGGATAGTTTTGTTAGAGGACTTTGGAGAGGAGACAAAGCAGTGATACCCCAGTACTAATTTTTAAACAATTTCTACATTTGTATAATTGAAACACGAATTTTTTGACCTCAAAGAAAAATGAAGTTTATTTTGATATGAACCAAACAGGAAAGTATGAAGATAATTTTAGGATGGAGGAGTACATTTAAAGCAAAAACATTAATGATCATCAAATGATAATCTTTTAAGCCAAACCTCAGGTCTGTTTGAATCGTCTGTCAGTGTGACATCTGCACCCAATTTTGCAGCAACTAATCCAGGCAATGAAGTTCCTGCACCAAGCTGTAGAACAGTAGAACCAATAATAAACCTAATCGCCACAAAATAAAATACAAACAAAAAAGACATGAAATGAAATCTATAGACCTCCACAACGGTGGTGCCGGAAAAGCGTGATCTTTGCTGCCAAACGTACTCCGCTAAAATAACACTACACGGCCACACAAACAGACCGTATTCTTCTTTCATATTCTACGAATGTTAAACAGCCAGAGGGTATAAGCTACTTATTAGGTTAAAGTTTCACACTATGTACTGAATGAATTCGGGGAATGAAACGGAGATACTTGCCTCAATAATGGTGATGAAGAACTCATCTTCCGAACTATTTGAGCTTCCGAAGCGGTGGCGGGAGAAAGTCGTCATATCGTGCAGCGCCGTCGATTTCCCCGCGGATAGGTCGTCGTCGTCGTTCTCCGGTGTCGCTGCCATCATTACCAATCACGGATCAAAACCCCTATCTGTCGGAGGGTTCAAGACAGGTTTAGCGCTTCAGCTTATATTGGAACTATGAAAATGATGGGATCATATGGGTTTTATTTATGCTTTATTACTTTATATATTAATCTTTTTCTACAGGCTGCGGCTACTACTGCTGCTTTGGCTAAAAAGTATGGAGCTGATATAACAGTTGTAGGCATGTCCCTTTTTTACATCATAATTTTTGGATTGCTATATAGAACTATAGAAGGGTTCAGCTCCCACTGGAACTCTCCAGTTACTGGAGAGGATCCAAATTCTGTATAGAAGGCCGTGTAGAATCTAAACAGCTTAGAGTATTTTTGCAGTTATTGGTGAAAATGAAAAAGCTTCACAGCCACAACATGAAACCCAATTATCAAGCATTCGTTGGCATTTATCAGAAGGTTTGTTTTTGCTGTTTCTTGTTCTTTTATTAGTGGAACAAAAGGGGTGGTTTTTCTCACTGCACTCTAACTTGGTGCTCGGGTAGTCGGGTATGAATGAAATGCCACAAACACATTTTTGTGCTATTCATGCTTACTCTACTCCATAGTGTGACAATTCAGTGTAGGTGAGTCTGGGCAGGGATTTTTAGCACGTGTTTAGGTCCTGGAGAAGTCTAGGGAAAGGGGGGCATGCTTATGATAGTTATTGACTTATGTTTGGTTTTACGTAGGCAGATGCTAATAAAAATAAATTATTTTTTGGTCCTTGTATAAATAAATAAATAAATAAATAAAATGATTTGAACAAATATCTGCAAGAAATTTAATGGTTGTGAGACTAACACTCATTTTTTTCATTACTTCATTTAAATTTTCTTTCCTACCTTCTCTCCATGGTTTTATCCGTATTCTGAACGGGCCTCTAGAACATGGAGAATGCATTGCATAGTGATTCAGCACTATGTTTTAATCAATCGATTGCATGATGTCCAAACAATTTCCCTATTAGAATGCAATGCTTCACATACTGACATCTACATAGGTGAGATGATGAAGATGATACAGTGCTTAGTAATGAATTTATAGGCGGATTCCAGGAGTTCAATATATTGGAGAGACTAGGAGAAGGGAAAAAGCCAACAGCAATCATTGGTGAAGTTGCAGATGAGATGAACTTGGATTTGGTTGTACTAAGCATGGATGCCATCCACTCCAAGCATGTTGACGCAAACCTGCTTGCCGAGTTCATTCCCTGCCCTGTTCTGCTTTTGCCGCTCTAGGAAGGCATAAGATGTTGTGTGACATCCCATAACATTTTCAAGATGCAATGCAGTTTTCTTAAATCAACATAAATGGCCTTAGTTCTGAATGGTGTTCTTTTTCACTCCTTCGCCCCCCAACCAGTTTATGGGTTCTGTCGTTTGTCCAATTGAAATGCATTGTCTAATGTGCCTATCATATATGAAACACTTTTAACTTTTCCTTTTCTTAAACCACTATCTTTTCAAACACTATCAGCTTTTACTATTAATTTTTTCATATAATCTCTAAAATTAATCACTTCTCAAAAGTAGAAGCAAACACTCCCTAAATTGAAAGTTAAAAACTTGTTGAAAGTCAAAAGTAGAAGCAAACAGTTGTGTTCTAACAGCTGCATTACTAATCAAATTTTCTGAATTCAGTACTTTTTAATTATCGTTGCATATGTTTTATTGAGAAATTTCAAAGGCTCAAATCATGACCTATAAACTCTAAATAGTATTTTGTGTTCTACAATATATTACTGCCACTTTTCTAGGCTCAAATCATGACCTCTAGTTCACAAATGCATTTGAGATTATTCTGTCAGATCATACCACCAAATAATCATGTTCTTAAACAATCATCTCCTATTAACCTCAAGGAGTCAAGGATGAGAGATGTGATAAATGGCCATCAAATTTCATGTTCAAATAAAACATCACTTTCAAATAATTTGGATTTCTAGCTTTGGCATTTTCAATTATTATTAGGCTCGTCTTTTAAAGTAGGGTATATATGCGGTCTGAGTTGCTCGAGTCTGATCCTTTTACCGGGTTGTTGGGTTTGTAGACCTTCCGGGTATTGGGCTTGTCCTGTGCTAGGCCATTTACTCCAACATAAATGCATTAACCTCAAGAACAAATAGTACAATAGTCAATGCCATTGATAAAAGATAGGAGTTCTTTATAAAAAGAATTAGAAAAATACATTTTTGTGGCAATTTGGCCTCTTTGGAGATCAAACAAGTTTCATGTCTTATTTTATTGTTACATTTTTTGGGGTTAGTGAGCTTTTTATGGTTTAACAAGGTTGACTTTGTCATGGGTGGAGTAAACAATTGTTTTATATTTCTGAAGCCATTAGGCTTACCCTAATAATAGATTGAGGCAAGGTTGCCCTGACTTTTAAGCCGAAACTAATAGATAGTATACAGATATGATCCATATATTACGTATATAAGCCAAGTCCAACACATGAAAGAGCCCACGCAAAATTAAAAATTTGTTTTGATCCAACAACTCAACATAAGTTCATGTTCTTTTAGCATGTGTGGCCCAAGTTGATCCATTGATGATCCTTAAATCAAAGCTAGACTAGATAAAGAAAAGAAAAACCATTTTTGTTGAAAGTAAAACCAGCTATTATTAATTTAATAAATCGTTCGCCACATGGCTACAAATGTTAGACGGTAAAGAATGAAAAACTATTCTGCCACTCGCATTAGAAACGACTACCTTAGCAAGTGTATGGGTTGCCCGATTCGCGGATTGTCTACAACGTTTGACAATAAAGCTAGCTTCAGAATGAAGTAGATGTCTTAGATCTTCGATAACGATATCCAAATAAGAATTCTCACATCCTTCCAAGAGTCTAAAGGTAACAAGGAGTGCATCTGTTTCAATTTCGACATGGGACCAACCTTTCTCTTTAGCCCACGATATCTGATAGGCACTAGTTGTTAGTGCATAAGTATACATTTTTATTATTGTTTGTGATGATTATTTACTATTATTGTGGAAGTTTGTAGGCTTTAGTTTAATTTGATTGTAATTGTATTTTTAGCATTTAATTGTATGTTCTAAGAAGTAGCTAGTTAGGCTATAAGTTTATGAGAAGTTTGGAAGCAAAAAGGATGAAGGAACCTGAGTTTTATGCAAAATCCGGTCGGGTATGGTCTTTACCCTATCGAGTATGAAGTGAAAAGGGAAATTGCTGCGAAACTAGCAAATACCCGGTAGGGTATGAAGTGATTTCGGACAAAAAGACGTGCAGAAGAACACAAGAACGTGGGATAAAGATTTGATTTGACAAATACCCGGTCGGGTATGTCAAATACCCGGCCGGGTATCCGGCCATAAGTGTTGAAAACGCCTATAAATAAGCCCATTTTCCTTCACTTTCAATCATCCCTTCTTCCATACTCTTAAGCTCAACTTAGAATAGTATTTTCTTTATATTTTTCTAGCATGTTTAGTCTCCAAATGAGGAGCTAAACTTTCATTTCTTGGTTTTGCTCTTGAAGCTTGTTGATTATTAAAGTTGTGAGTTATTTTCTTAACTTCTCTCCTTGAATATTAATTCTTCCCTTAATCTATCTCTATATTAATGTTGGGGAGTGTTGCTAAGATGACAATCAGTTAACATCTCAATATTAATTATTACTAGAAGCGATGAACGAACCGATGGTTAATCGTTGATGGTTTTACAAGTAAGTAATTTCGGTTTATTAATGCACGGTCGTGGTTAATAAACTTAAGAGGGATTAATTTTGTTGGTTAAACCGAAACCGTTGTGTTGAGGTTATCAATCTCAATTGATTTCATCAAGGAGTTAGAAAGATTAAATGCTACTATTAAATCGGTATAAGACGTTGTTCTATATTTGATTAATAGTACGGGTTATTAATGAACGGTCGTTGTTAATAACTACCCTCGATGAATTGGAGATACTCCTCGATTGAGTATTCGAGAGGGGATAAGTTATAGATATAACAAGGATCGACTAAATATATCAACAAATGGAAAGTAGCAAAACCAAGTCCCTTTTATCTTTGAATTAAAACTCATATAAGTCGTTCATCTTAGTGTTTAATTAAATTAAACCACTCAAACCCAAAACCCCATTTTATTTACTAGTTCATAAAAAAAGAATCATTCCTTTCCATGTGGATACGAACTCTACTACATTATACTACGGTATTAGCCCTTAGTAGTGAATTTATTTTGACGCACTACGACAAAGTGTTCGTCAATATCACCTCTCTTATCCTGACTGCTTCAGTAATAGCCGCTGACCAGTCAGCTGCCCGAGTCTCACTGCCTCTACTGTGAAGTTCCCTTCATTATCACATGCAAGCCATCCCCACGCTCTTTTCCTCCTGTTTACATCCACTGCTCCGTCCGCGTTGATTTTTATCACTCCCGCTGGCGGACATATCCACCCGTCTTGCCGTCACTTGGTGTTGAAGTCCCTACGGCTGGTAATTGTGTTGCACGCCATCCAGTTAGCATCACTAAACCTGCATTATAAATCTCGTTTGAATTACTCACTTTTTCTTTCCAAACATTCTCGTTACGTGCTTTTCATATACTCCATAGTAGGGTGATGAACAAGCATAAATCCTCTTCTGTTGCAGCTTCAAAAACATTTTTTACCCACTCCAGCAAGCTGTCAACTTCACGTCGAACAACAACATTGAGTTTCCTCCATACTTCATTGGCCACAGTACAATTTTTAAATAAGTGGGTAGAGTTTTCCTCTACATTATTGCACAACCTGCATTCAACAGAAACATTTACCCTCTTCCTCCGTAAATTGGTTGCTGTATGATAATCGTTTTATTTACTTGTGTTTAACATAAGTATTTATAAGTATTTGTTGAATAGAAGAAGAGAAATTGGGAAAATACCTTCAAAATAAGAGCTAAAGCATGAAACATTGTGATGAACAGTTTTTGGGACCAAAAGGATGACGTTCTATCCATAATTTGAGTATAACTTATTGTAGAGAACTCGAAATCACTCGAATCGAATTTCATGTGAATGTTAACTCAAAAAGGTACAAATGTTATGAAGACTCAATCAACCAATAAAGTCAGATGTTGCTGGTGGAATTTCAGGATGAATACCTCTCATTGTTTTATCCATATCTTTTG